CCTGCTGTCTGATTTATCTCAGGCAGACTCCATACAATTTGTTGAATGCACTTAAAACTGCAAGGCTAAGTCAATAGCTGACTTACACATTTCTTTTTTTTGTTTGTTTGCTGAGGACCTTGTTCATTTCACACTGAAGCGCTCACAGGTGAGAGTCACAGTAGGTGCGGGTGAGCGTGGATGGCTCCCTAGAGTTGGTAAAATGATGCAGTGCGAAAGGGCCAAGAAGGCTGGTGGCCACACCAGGGCACAGACCATACCCGGGACATCAAGCCTGAGGCCCAGAGCCCACAGCTCAGGCTCACATGTGAAGTCTCGGGGCTCAGTGCCCTGTTCTGAGCAGCTTCCCCAAGCAGCCTGTGTCACTCTCTCCAGCAAGTTTCAGAAGGGGATTCTTCCCCACATGGCAGGGAGATAGAGGGGTCATGGGCTATGGGGCACTTGAGAATGGCAGGGGGAGGGGGGTGTTCTCTCCATCCCATAAAGGTAATTTCCCACCTCACAAAATTTCTTGCTAGGTGATGGCAGCTTTTCTATTTCCACTTGTGTTAAAGTCAAGCAGCCTAAGGTGGCCTGCGGCTCCTCACGCAGCACCTGAGTTCCTGAAAATGCATCTTTTCTGCATTTTCATGGAAACTGGGCTTTTGCTTTCTAGCTCTAGCTAATGTTGACTAGGCTGGTTTTTCAGGTTGGCAATATTATTCGCAGTAGCCAAATCTGCAACACTGAGGGTTTCTCATTTCCAGAATTAAATTATACCAATTGGCTGCATCATCCTTCATTTTTCCTGCACTGACAGATGTAAGATCCTTCTCTCCAAAGAGGTTTGGATGGACTTTTCCCAAAGATGTAGAGCAGGACTTATCCAACACTGTTCCTTGGTATGTGGAACTAAGGTTTAGGAGGCTTTTTGAGCCTCGGGAGAAATGGTCATCATTAAAGAATGTAGATCACCTGGATTTACAGGTAGCTGCACAAACAACCTTTTTATCAAAGAAACCTGTCTGAAGCAGGGCAAATGCCCAGAGGCAAGGTTTTGCCCTATGAAGTCATACCCTCCTGCTCAAGTGAGGCTCCTCTCTCCTTGATCCTCCCAGGCCTCTTAGCACAGGTTATAGCCCCTCAGTTGTCTTATTCTTTAGAATTAACAGCCATATAATTTTTCCATGTGTATGTTATTATATTGGGTCTTTTCCTCCTTCTAATCTGTTTGATGTGAATTTGTCCAGTCTCAGAAGAACCCCAAAGGGAGGGGGAATTTTTCCCAGCACCCCAATACAGATAAGACAGGTTTTCTGGGTGCTGCACTTCCCAAAGTCTTTGATTTGTTTAGAGTTCTGTGGCTTCCGAGAGCCTCTCATCCCCAGACACAGAAAAAGCTGGATGCCAAAGATGCAGCAATGGTTCCCACATGTCACTGTCCAAGTTACATCTAAACCTGGAGTCACAAGTCTAATGCATGAGATGCTCCATATGCCAAACTCTGTTAAATGCCTCCAATACTTAGAATACCACATAGATGTGCATTTTTCAAATTTGTGTTGGAATTGGGATTAACTTCTCAACTGGCTGAATGTACATATCTCCGGAGATTTTTAGGTCAGAGGAATGAGATCTGAAGCGGCAGGGGACAAGTGTGACGGTTGACCACTCTGAGCCCTTTATTCTCACTTTTCCCTTGGGACCACTGTGCAGATTGGGTCAAGGGGTGAATAGGAACAGAAGTCCAGTTAGAGCCCTAAGGGCCGGGCTGGAGTCCTGGCATAGAGCACAGGACTGCATGCACTGTGGGCAGGGGCCTCTTTCCCACTCACCAAGAAGCCCCTAGGGACAGCTGGTAGTCTTGCTTTTTGAGTGCAGGGTGTCCAAAGGAGTGCAAATTATGTGGCCTTGCAACTCACATCCCCCAAAGTCAATTCTGTATTTTCCACTTTTCAGTTTTGTTGAGGCAGTCACTTCCTCCACCACCACACACACACACACACACACACACAGAGAGAGAGAGAGAGAGAGAGAGAGAGAGAGAGAATGCAGTAGCTCTTGAAATATGTTCTAAGTTCCCATGTGGCAGGGCCAGGATCCCCAAAATGCCGCCCTGATAAACTCCCAGGGCTCCATGTGACTCAGCTTGATGATGGCCAAGGCTGCTGGTGACACCTCCCTTCTTTTTTCTTTATTTAACAAACATTTACATAGTCCTTCCTATGTGCCAGGCAGTGCTCCACAATTTCCAAATGGCAGCCTGTTGAATTCTCCAACCTAGAAGGGAGCAGCTATTTTTATTCCATTTTACAAAATGGGAACCAGTTTGTACCACATAGGGTCGTATAAGAATTAAATGAGTTAAGACGTGGAAAACACATACAACAATGATTGGCACATGCAAATCACTCAGCAAATATTAGTTGTTGTTATTTAGATGGAAATAGTGTAAGTGACCAAACCAGGTCTTTTGCTCAAGCCCAGTTAAGTGAGTGAAACACGAAAATATCTTTGCACAAAGTTTATTTTATGAGGTGACCACCAAGGGAGTTGGCACTTGGGTAACCAAACTATTGAAACCAGCTGCCCCAGTGGTGGGGGATCTCTGATTTTATATAAAAGGATGGAATGTGGTGCTTGTAGGGCATAAAGAGTGAGGGGCTTCACATTTCCCAGTCTGAGGAGGTGCCTGGCAGACATCAGGGGTGATAGTGTGTATCTTTTCCAGGAAAGTATGTTCCTCTGGGGCTTACAGCCCTTAGGGCTGAGCAGAGACTTTCCCTGATGCTTTGGTTATCTCTGAAGGGGCACAGAGAATTGTGTTGGAAAAGTAACAGAGTTCTCAAGGTTTGCGGGAATGCATGGGAATAGGGAGTAAATTACAGTACAGAGGGGGAAGCAAGGGAAGAGGGAAGTAAAGAGTGTTTGGTTCAGTGTTTGATTCTGCTTAGTTTAACCCTTTCTGTGCTAAAAGATTTTAGGCTACAAAAAGAAGGGGTTGTGGTTACAACAGCAAGAGTCCTGAATAATGGTAATAGTTCTTTAATAATGACAACGCTTTGCCACCATCATTCTTAAACCTATCAATAGAATGTCAGTGGCTGATTCCATGGTCGGTTCCAGAGTTAACTGACAAGCTGCAGGTCATATTCAGAGCTTTTTTGAGTAACTGAAGTGGTGAATGTGACACAGTCTTTTGTAGATGATAGAATGACAGGCAAAATCATGATGATTTAATAAAAGGTTCATGGATGAAGCCCACACGTGGTCCAGCCTGAAAGCATAGCCCCCTTCTGAGACTTATCTGCCCCCAGACAGATGTCCAGAGCCAGGGCCATTGCTAAAGGCCAGCCCAGACGGCAAACACCGCCCAGGACTGCGATGTGGAGTGTCTCCATGAACCCTGCGGCGCCAGGCACAGCAGGGCCAGCAGGCGCTGATGATCATCCTGTCTTTTGAAAATACTGTTATAGAGCAGCCCGGAAATTGAACGGGTTACCTGACTGTGGGTCCTCACCCGCGCGCTTACAAGGGACTTATGAATACTCCGCTACAGGCACACACAAAAGGCTAATACAAGGTTTATTTACAAGGGAAAAGGAAATAAGGAAAATGTACAACTCAGGGAGAAAATAGGGAAATAAAGTCTTTAATGCGTCCTACCCGATCCGCCAACCTGGAAACCCAAAGTCACTCTCAGTCTCACTCATAGCAGGAATCTAGAAAACTTAAATAAGGGACCAGGAAAATGAATAACTATAAGAAAGTGAAAATCAAAATCAACAAAAATCTATGAACCAGAGACACTTTTTTTTTGGGGGGGGGTGGCGGGAGGGGAGGGATTGGGGTCAAAATGGGGGGTTGAAATTGTATGGGGAATATAAAAATAAAATTTATTATTAAAAAAAAAAACAACAAAGTCACTCTCAGAGCTGGCCGGACGCTGCGAGCTGGCGGAGAGCCAAAATGGGGGACCCTCCAAAGCCCACGGGTCTGGCTTTATACCAACCTGGCTGCTTAACCCCACCCTCAGGTCCCAGCCACCTTCCCTTTGGTGGTGATGGGATTTGGGGTTCCCAGTGTCTTTGGCTTTGGCCTGGGGTGGGGGGTGGAGTCCACAAAGCCTGCATGGAATTAGCTTTAGGACATCCTTTTCCCCCTAACAATACCACAGATTTGACGATGCTGTACACCCACCGGACACCTGTCCTTCTAAGTCCCCACTCTCAAGTGTTTCTATTCTGGGTCTTTCTACTGCCTCCCCGTCTTCTGCAAATTCCCTTTATCTCTAACTCAAATGAACTGACTCCCACGTAGAGCTGCACTTGGGGCTGGGGTCGCGGCGTTCAAGATCCCGCGGCTGCCTCATTCCCTGTTCACCTGGAACTACAGAATGACTTCAGTTTTCTTGTCTGTACAACGGGGTGGAGCGAGAGCTGCTGGCATCAACGCCTGGCACTTCATTACCCGCGAAGTCAAAACGCTGCAAAACCCACTCGCGGCCCGTCGGTTCTTACGACGCCTGCGCAGAAGCCCCCGCCACGCGCCCTCGATGACTCGGCGTTCGACGGGCGTCGGTTAGCCTGCCTTCCGGTTTTAGTGCCGCCTCAGGCGCGCCTGCCGAGCGCCGAGCAGCCGATGAAAATGGCCGCCGCGGCGGTGTGAGGGACCACGGAGGCCCACAGTCCGGGCCCGAGGACTGTCCAGGCCTGCGTGCCCGCGAGAGCCCCGTGAGGTACAGAAGGCCGGGACGAACCTGCAGGGCGGGGGCGGGGGCGCGGCTCCCCTCCGGGCGCGGCCGCGCGGGCTGAGCGTGTGGGAGGTGAGCGGCGGCGGGGGTGTGACGTGTGTGGTGGGCGCTGCGGCTGTCGGGCGCGCGCCCCGCCGGCGGGGGCCTGCGGTGATTGGGCTCTGAGGGTTGTGTGGTCACGCGGGGCGTGTGCAGTTGTGTTTGGTTCTGCGGCTGAGGAGTGGTGGGGGGGTGGGTGTCCCGGGAGGGGCTGTGCTTGATTCTCCGGTTGTGTGAGATCCGGGCGTTTGGGTCCGAGGGTGTGGAGTTGTTGGGGCGGCGTCCGGGCGACGTGGGAAGCTGTCATGTCTGCCCTGCCCTGTGGGTGTGGGTCTTTCATGTGTGTGGTTATGCGGCGAGCACACAGTCGTGTCGCGTGGAGTGGCTTGTGGCTGTGTGCGGCCGTGAGGCTGAGGGATGTGTAGCAGCAGCATTTGTGCGGGGTAGCATTCCTGTTGGACGTGTAGCATTCCTGTTGGACCTAGTGTAGGGTGTGAGGGCCTTGGAGTTAGGACTGTAGGGCCGTCTTTGTGGTTTGTGGTCGGTTTCTTTGGTTTGTGGTGTAGGTTTGGTTGTATGATCTTAGAGTTTGTTGGTTCATTCATTCGTCGAGCTTTACTGTGCTGCTTGGTGGTTTGTCCTAGACCCTGGGGATAGATGTTGTGGAAAACATAGTGTCTGCTGTCACAGAGCTTATGATCTTAGTGTTCAGTCCTTTCACATATGTCTTTGTGGTTATAAATTGAGATAAGTGCTGTGAAGGAAAAGCCAGATTGGAGAGTGTCTCAAGAAAGAAGCATTTCCTTGAAATGACATTGGGTTGAGATGTGAGGGGTGGGTTTATATTTGATTCATGGCGTTAGATTTGGATGCATCAGAAGGAAGGGAACTGTCAGTCCTGGGATCAGATGAACCAAGGTCTGGGGAGAGAACATATCAGACCTGGAGTTGCTGTTTCACTTGACAATCTGGCAAAGACGCTGAGATCTGCATCTACACAGTCATTGGGTTATTAGCTAGAGGAGAAAACAGGGACCTGGTATTTTGTTTATTTATTTCTTGGGTCACTGCCACCCTTCAGCTTTGAGGACCAAGAAGTCCCTCCTCAGTGACCCTCTAAGCAAGTACTTCCAAAGCTTAGAGTCCCTACTGTGGCTTGTGGGGAAAAAAATTCTCTGCTTTTGTGTAATGTTTTTGTCCAGCTCCCCCTTATCGCTGGTAGTCTTTCTAAGGTGACATTGGAAGTGACTTTGACATGGTCCAATAAAACAGAAAATGTAACTTATTAAACCCTGATTTGTTTTGAGTTCCAAATCCTTTTATTTTTGAAGTAGTCAGAACATTAATCTTGGTGCTTAGCTGTCACTTCTGAAATCTAGTGAATTGATTGGAGAGAAAGTGCTATAAAAATATAAGACACAAAATAGGTTTTTCTTTTTGACCACTAGGTTTCTAATGCACTCCTTTAGACTGAGGTTGGGATTTTCTTTAACAGGGCAGACCCTGTCATTTATTATTATTTGCAATAGCCAAACTTGCATCTCTAAGGGCTTCCCATTTTAGGATTATGCCAATTGACTACATTGTCCTTAATTTTTTTTGCACTGACAGATGTAGGATCGGTCTCTAAGATCACTTTACATTTTTGACAAAGGTGCAGGAGCTCAATGTATGATGCTGAATAAATGATCAAGGTAAAGAGAGTCAAATAAAATGTCTGCTTCTGGATGAGTACTTGAGATATTTCCCCAGTAGCGAAAGTGGCATATGTATTATGAAGTTGGAACATTTGGAATGAGTGTTAGAGAATTGCCTGGTATTGTGTTACTGTTGACATAGAATTTTCGTCCCTTCAAGAATCTATGCTTCCTACTTGATTGAGTCACCATTGTCTGTGATGCTCTCACATCCTAAAGGTTTTGTGTCTCATTCTATATTGTGGTTTTCGGCCTCAGGTTCTTGGGAGAAATTTTTCTGCTTTTGTGGAAAGTTTTGTCTGGGTTCTCCCCAAGGCCAGGAGTCTTTCTGAAGTGACATTGGCCAATAAGACATCGCCATGGCCCAGGAAACAGAAAATGTAACTTATTAAGCTCTGAATTATTTGAGCACCAAATTTTTTTGTGGTTTGTTTTCGCAAGCTTGCACACAACAGACATTAAGTACCCTTGCTAATTGTGAAAATAATGAAGAAAATTCTGTTGCCGCTGATTTTCCTGAATTGACTTTTTCCCTCTTCTGTCCTTTCTCAAGGTTTCTCCTACTCCAGGGAGGAAGCATCATCCAGGCCATGATGCCACATCCTCATTGTCCATGTGCTGCTTGCTTAAGCTAATGCCTCCAGAACCCCGGTCACTTGCAGAAGAATCAAGCTGACTCTTGGCATGAGGCCCCTGCCTTGTGGGGGTTGAGAAAGACACTGCCATGGCTTCTCTGGATGATCCAGGGGACGTGAGGGAGGGTTTTCTCTGCCCTTTGTGCCTGAAGGACCTGCAGTCTTTCTATCAGCTTCAGTCGCATTATGAGGACGAGCACTCGGGGGATGACCGTGATGTCAAAGGGCAAATTAAAAGTAAGAGGCAAGGATTTAGCTTATTCCATTCTGTCGGTAGGAGTGATGGTCTTCAACAGTTTCCATATAACCACTGGACCATGTTGATAACAATAGTAAATTGATTTTAGTAAACATATCTAATCCTTACAATGTGCCAGGCATTGTTAAAAATCTCACATATTATCATCTGCCTTTATTTCTCATAATCACTGTATGACTGTGAGCCCCCATGCAAGACACAAAGAGATTAAATAACCCGGCTGAAGTCACACAACAAGCAGAGCCTGGTGTCAAACCTAGCAAGGGGAATTGCTGTGCTCTGCTGACTCCTGATGACTGAGTTCCTACACTGCCCACTAAGAGGGCTTGGAAGTAGAAATCCTTCCCTTTGCTCTGAAAGTGGAGACATATTGTATACCCATCCCCTTGTCACAGATTCCAATCTCCCTGCCATCCTTCCTTCCTCAGCTGGACCTAATTCTCCACAACCCAGGAAAAGTAAGGTCATAGTTGAAAAACAAGAAGAAACAATCCCAAAAGTTAAAATTTAGTTTTTGAACTTCTCAAAGCCTAGGTCCTAGGGTTATAGAAATAATATTTCAAAGTAATTTGACTATAGTGTTTATTTCTTAGAGTACAGATTCTAACCCCTAAATTCTAATCTCTAAATACTTCCCTAGTGATTCAGCTAACCTGCTTCTCACAGCTGGCAGCATTTCTGAACATGAGATTTAAAAGGTCTGGAAGCTGTATTCACAGTTCTTTGTTGGGTGGGAGAGAAAGGAATGATCATGTATTCCCAAGTGGACTTTGGCTTCCATACATGCAAGAAAGCCACATGCTCCCTGTAATCAAATAGCCCTGCTCCATGTCTCGCTTTCCATTGCAGAAAAAGAGCTGTTGAGGCATTAACATTTATAACATCTGTCCAAAACATGGCAAAATCAAGCATTTAATAAATGTTGAGTCCTGCAGTGGACAAGGTGCCTTCTGACTGTAGAGGTTGGAGCAGAGCTACTATTAGGGGGCTCCCCCGCACCCTGGCTAAAGTTCTGCACTTTATAGTTTTCAGAGTTCTTTCACACACATTTGTATTTCATTTGACTCTCCTAGTAACCCTGCAGGAACGTAATTGGTCCCATTTTACAGAGGAAAGGTGAGAAATGTTGATTACAAGGTCATACAGGAATTGACTGAAGTGGGCCTTGAACCCAGGTGAAAGCCTCTAAGCCTAGTGCTGCTCTTTCCATGTGGCAGCACTGGTGATATTAGGCCCTTGTTCCTATGTCATGTGTACTGCAGCTGGGAAGCAAACAGCTAAGTTTCCTTGGATGCCTAGAGGGCCTCCATGATGACAGCTTCTGCTTTTAGTGTCAGCTGAACTGAGCCATGTACTGTGATGTCTCCAAGACTTTGATGCCAGTGAGGTTGAGAGGTTTTAGAGAAAGTCCTCAGATTTCTGTGATGACCTTACTAATTAGAGGAATAATGTTTAAGATTATTAGGGAATAATAGATATGGAAATCTTTTTTAAATACTAGTGTGGAAATTTTGTTCATTTTAAAAGAAACTTGAAAGCATTTTCTTGTGGGTTTTGACCCCCCCAACTGTACCTCAGAAGAACAAAGAGATTGAGTTAAACATTCCTTCAGTACCACTAATGGTCATTTTGCCAAGTTTCAGCTCAAGAAAGTAAAGTTTTAAAGGTTGATATCAAAGAGTTTTGGAAAATCCTTTAAAAAACAGATCAACTCTCCATTGGGTCTTTTGATTCTGGGAAGTTCTTAGACAATGCTAGTTCTAGGCAAGTGAAATATTATAGCAAAAAGAGATTTTGGAGGGAATTTAGAGAAGAAAACAGAAACATGTGATTGCTAAAAAGTGGTCAGTGAGTTCGGCCCCCAGCCCTGTTTCAGGTTCCTCTCCCCTATTGTTAAAAAAGACTACTTGAGGCATTTTAGAGGGTATCCTTTTAAGTTCTGTCCTGTTATTTTTCCTGTTGGAGAACACCATCCCAGAGTGATTGATAATCAGGGATAATCAGGGAATCTTGTCAGTTCCATGCCTTGCCTGCTAGTCCCCTATATCTGCATTTACCTAGATTTTTGAAAAGCGACAGGAGTATTTTTCTTGTTACTCAAGTGACGGGATACTTCAGAATCATGGTATCTCCATGAAGTATTGCTCTAGTAAATGGAAAAGAAATTGAATTATTTTGTTTTAAATCTGGTATTTTCTACTAGATTCTGTGACCGAAAGGGATAACAGTCACCTAAAATTTAAAAACATTCATGAGAGCAACTTAGAATTGACAATTCTTTTTCCCCCACTTGACTGTTGATCCATTTTCACACCAGGTCTCCTGGCAGCACTGGTAGCAGAACCACTGTTCTTTGGAGGCATAGTTTTCAGTCAGTGCTGACTGGGGAGAACCAGTGCTCAGGCAGATGAGGGTTCCATTTCCAGCCCTGTGGCCCATAAGCGCTGTGGTCTTGGGTGAAGCAAGTTCCTCTTTGATGTCACGTCCTCATTTGTGAGTAGGGATAGCCCGTCTTCGTGGTGGTGTCAGCATGAACAGGCTTAGTGTATTTGAGGGCACTTTCAATTTGGGAAACTCACGTTCTCTTCTTTCCAAGTCTCATTTCTGCTGTGTTGGGTTGTATGTGTTTTATCTGTGTCTTGAAGCTTCTTGTCAGTATCCTCACATAGGCATTCAGTAGGCGGGTTGGCAGCAGTTGGGGGGGTGAGTGCTAACTGCAGTTAAGCATTTTGGGAACACCAGCCCAGGGTTGTTGGTTTGGCTGAAGCCCATCCTGATGGGAAACAGCAAGTGTTTACTCATGTGTCCCCTAGCAGTTTATATGTAGTTTTCAAGTGCACAGTTCAGTAAGTTTTGAAAAATGATTATATCTACATACCCACTTCTCTATTATGATAGTGGAAAAAAAATCACTTCTGTCACCCTGGCCCCCAGTTTGGATTTGATTTTAACACATCTATTTAATTGGGCTCTTAAAGTTGGTGATCGGTCATTTAGTAGCTGTCTGTTGGTGTCATAAGCCAACTTACTGCTCATACCAGTTAGAGTTTTGGTCTGTGGCGTTTGGAGTACAGTGGATATGTACATTTTATTTGGGGTACAAAAATTTCTTCATTTTTAAGCAAAGCATAATTATTTCATCAACTTTTTTTTTTTTTTTTTTTTTTTTGAGATTTCCCTTGACTCTTTCCTGGGTTCTTCAGGGATTCATATATAGTGTTCCATTTTTCAAGGTCTTGTCCAGAAAGCAAAGAAAGCAAAGAACAGATTATTGAAACGAGAAGGAGATGACCGAGCAGAATCGGGGACCCAAGGATATGAATCTTTCAGCTATGGAGGGGTTGATCCTTACATGTGGGAACCCCAGGAACTTGGTAAGAAAATCTGTTCATTCATTTAGCACTTTTGAGCGAGCATCTGTACATTCTAGTTAATGTTTTAAGAGCTGGCTGAGGAGGGCCTCCCTGGTGGCCCAAGGGGTTAAGTCACAACCTATGAAGCTATTCGCAGCCCCTGCAGCACGAGTTTGATCCCCTGCCAGGGAGCTACCCACATGGCTCAGCAGACCTCTCCTGACTCGCCTGCTGCTCCCCTCAGCAGTGTATTTCAGTCGATCATCCTGTTCTGTTCCCTACTCTGTCTCTGGTGAATCCTTTCGCCCCCCCACCCAGCCCTGGCACCCCTGGCCTGTACCCCAGTTCTGGTATGCATAAATAAATAAATCTTTAAAAAAAGAAAAAAAGAACTGGCTGAGGAGGCATCAATAAACCAGAATCTAAGTTTCTTGTGCACCTCACATGCTAGCTGGGAGAAGAGCGGAACGTCTACTTTGTGTTAGGCACTGCATTAAATGCTTTACGTGTGTGTTCTCATTTAGTACTCACTGAACCCCAAAGGGACCTGCCCAGGATCAAATAGCTGGGAAACTGCAAAACTGGTGGATGAGTCCAGTTCTCTGACATCAGCTCAGGCACAAACTCCAGTGGTTTGTGCAACTTACTTTTCAGAGTCATGTAGTTATGGTATCTACTTACTTTCAAGATAATCTTTCTGTGGTGATGAAAATATTCGGGAATTTCTTTTGGTTATGATTGCACCACTTTGAGTATACTAAAAACCATTGAATTTGTTCCCCTTAAATGGTAAATTGTATGTATGTGGATAATATATCAATATAGCTGTCATCAAAAAGATCATGCCACACAGAGTTGAACCAGCTAGCACTGCAGACCCTTTACTGTTAAGTGAAAACATCCTTACTGCATTATCTTCTGACCATGAAGTGGATAAGTAATGATTGTCTCATGATTCTTTATTTTTTCACTTTTCACAAAAGCCTAACAAGGTACAATGGGTGTGACATTCATTCCCACTTACAGATGAAAAAACAGGCTCTAAGAAGGATAGTCACATTACCCAGAGTCATCCATCGCATTCTTAGAGTGCCACTACCGAAGGTAGCTTTTGGATGAGGAAAATCCTAGAACTGCATTGCCCAGAATAACTACTAATTATATTTGGCTATTTAAATTTAAATTAAGTAAAATTAAAAGTTAGTTCCTTGGCCATACACTAGCCACATTTCAGGTGTTTAGTCTCCACGTGTGGCTAATGGCTCTAACACGGAGAGGTAACATTTTCATCATGGCTTTAAAGATTATAATACGCATTTGAAATAATAAATTACCTATAAATTAGAAACAAAGGAGAAATTTCAGGAATGTAAATTCTTGCTGGCTTCTTGATAGCTTATTTCAATGATTGCCAATGTTAAATTATCAGGGTGATTTTTCTGATGAACGTGCTTATTTTAATAACTGAAGGAAGTCACAGATTGCAGAAGGTCAAGTGAATGGCAGATTTTACATGTTAATATTTATGGTCACCCCTTAGAGTTCTAAATGAAAATTTAATTCGAATATGGTTAGGGAAGGAGACACACAAGGCTGGCTAAGTGTGTACATATTTAGACTTCAGTTAGCACAGGATATAAATGCATGGGGCGCAGTTGGTGGGGGCGGGGGAGGGAACTGAATGGCATGCTGAGAGGGTCCAGGGCAGGCCTGCTGTTTGGGAGGAGGCGCAGCTGAGCCGAGGCGTATTGCAGGTGCACCTGGACGAGCTGCTTGGCTCCATTTGTGTTGGGGAGGTTTCTCCCAGGTTTTGACTGCTAGACAGAGGAACTAGTTTCCCCCAAGGGCATCTTTTGGTATTTATACTTTGGGGGTGGTTTTGAGGAGGATTGTTTTTATTTTGATGGAAAAAACACCAACTTTGGAAGTATAGAAAAATAAGAGCGATTTTTAAAAATCACTGATAATGTTACTGCCTTTTTATTTCATAGACATTCACATGCTAGGCAGTGACTTTATACTAAATTTAATTGATCCTCATAACAACCCTCTAAAGTAGATACTATTGGTATCCCTATTTTATGGGTGATTTTACAAGAGAGGATAAGTAACTGGCCTGAAGTCAGACAATGTGTGGCAGAATTCAAACCTGAATACAGGTTTGTTCCAGAGTCCAGACTTTTATCCATTGGACTCAGAGATCTCTTATGTTCTCTTGCCTCCAAGGTCACCATAGTTACCCTGGCAAATTTCCTTCCTTTTGCTTTCCTAATTTAAAAATTTCTTACAGACACTCTAAAATCCTAGAATTTTTACTTGCTTTTGAAATTCACTGAGGACAGCAGTGAGGTAGATAGCGCCCTCAGTGCAATGACAAGTCACTTATCACCCCATGTCCCCTCTTTCTAGGTGCTGTGAGAAGCCATCTTTCAGACTTCAAAAAACACCGAGCTGCCAGGATTGACCACTATGTTGTTGAAGTCAATAAATTAATAATCAGGTTAGAGAAGGTAAATTTTGTTGTGTTAAAACACATTTTTTCTGCAAATATAAATTTCCTGGCCGGGGCCGGGGGAGAGGGAGGAATTACATTTCTGTAGCATGTTATGAATGTCCTGTGTATCTGATGCTGGCAGAGAAGCCCCCCATTTAGAGAGGACTGGAGGACATGTGGGGGCTGCTTTTACTGAAGGGAATCACCCCAGTTAACAGACTTGTCACATGACTGGCTTTCCTTTTCCTCCCACTGAAGGTTTCTCCTCTGCTGGAACACCTTTCTGCGTTCAGATTCTTTCCTCTCGTGGGTGTCCTAGGCACAGTCAGGCATAGTGTTTGATCTCATTTGATGGCAAATAGAGAACTTGGTGACAGTCCATGGGGAGTGCTCAGCCCAGGCAGTGTGGGAACATCTGGCCTGGCCCTCTCCCGGTGTGGTGTGAGAGTGTGTCTTCAGTACCATGTTTGCTCTGTTTCACTTTGATCCTAGAAACGTTTGTTGTATAAAAACAACCACAGATACACTAGGTGTACTTTGCACAGAAATATGGGACCAGTGTCATTGTCCTGCAGGACCGTGGAGAATAGCGAGTTCCCTGTTGCTTTCAGTGCCATCGCCATGCATCCTTGCCTACCCCTGGTTATTGCCTAAGTGGGTAACTGACAGTAAAGAGACTGCAGGTGGGACAAGGGAGTATGGCGGCGCCTTCTAGCGGCAAATCTACTACTCTACGGCATGTGACATTGCTTTTGTGACATTGTGGGGTGAGGGATGACAGGTGAGACCTGGCAGTGCAGATGTGCTGATCCCTGCTTGCTGCTGCCTGCCGTGGAGAGAGTATATATCCCCTGATTCATTCCAATTGGTGCTCTTCTTTCTCCTTGACAGCTCACTGCATTTGACAGAACAAATACTGAGTCTGCTAAGATCCGAGGTAACTGTAACTCCACTCACACTCAATTTGTCTTTCTTTCTGACCAAGTCTCTATAAATGACTTGCTTTCTTGTTTGTTTGGTTTTTGTTTTGTTCTTCCTAAAGCAATAGAAAAGTCTGTGGTGCCTTGGGTCAATGACCAGGACGTCCCTTTCTGTCCAGACTGTGGGAATAAGTTCAGCATCCGTAACCGCCGTCACCACTGCCGCCTCTGTGGGTCTATCATGTGCAAGAAGTGTATGGAGCTCATCAGCCTTCCCTTAGCAAGTAGGTGACCTCAAAGGCCTCATCTCCTGAGACGAGGTTGTTTGCTGGGAAACTTTTGGGACCTTTTGTTTAAGTTGATGGCCCATGAGATTGTCATTCACTCACTTAAGATTCCTTGAAGCCCACTGCAGGCTTGCACTAGACACAGGGGTGAGGGATGTGAGGGGCTGACACTTTTTCTGTAAAAGATCAGATAGTAAATATGTTACTTTTTGTGAGCCCCAGATGGTCTGTCACATTTCTTTTTTTAAAAACAACCTTTTATAAATGTAAAAATTGTACTTAACCCCAAGGGCCACACAACTTGGGATACCAGGTTGGTAGTGACCAGTGTCAACATCCAGGGGGATCATGGAGGGCAAGGAGTTCACTGTTTCCCATCTATGGTCCTATAGGGATCGTCCATTCCCCTAAGGAGTCTGGCATCTAGCAGGGGATGTAAGTAGTTACTTTACAGAGAGATAAATACAACGAAGGAAGTTACATCAGGCACCAAGGTGGGTTGATCAAATCTTTGTCAGCTCTGCCAGTGGCAGGTAAGGCTTTGAGAGGAGACTGTGGGAGAGGGGCTTTTAAAGTGAGCATGGGCTAGCTCTTTCCTTAAGACGCTTCCTTTTCCTTTGAGCTCACTGACCTAGAGAACAGACTGTAGTGTCATGAGAAGCACTGAGTGAGCACAGAGGCCGAGCAGAGCAAGACTGTGGATGCTAAGGGTTGCGAGGTGTTGTTCAGGAAGAACCTCTGAAGATGAGGGCTAGGATTGCAAGGAGATGGGGCAGGAGGACATCCTGAGTGGTGAAGAGCAAGACCAAGGTGTGGGATGTGGAAAGATCCAGGGAAGGTTGTGGACGAGCGCATGGAGTAGCTGTGGCAGTGTGGAAGGCCTGTTAAGAGAATTGTGGGACATGGCGCGCAGACCTCTCCTGCCGCCCGCTGCTCCCCTCAGCAGTGTACTTCGGTCCTTCTGCCTGCTCTGCTCCCCGCTCTGGCTCTGGTGAATTCTCTCACCCTCCCTAGCTTCTGACTGTACCCAGTGCTTGTATAAACAAACAAACAAACAAATAAATAAATAAATAAAGCATGCCTCTATAAATAAATAGATAGATAGATAGATAGAGAATTGTGGGAGTGAGACGACAAAGGTTCGGTGGAACCAGATGGTCCGCAGCTGTGAATCTCAACTGGTAAGAAGCTGCTAAAGATGATCTTGTAGGCTTTTAGCCAGTTCTGGCACTTTTGGGTGGTGTTGCAACTCTGGAGACTTCCGTTGACTCTGCATGTGCTGCTGGCTATGGGGTGTGTGGACAGATGCTTCCTCAGTTTGGCTGTGGTATCATCAGGCACACGTTAGCTTGATATTTTCCTTTTACTCTGAGACTGAACCCCATGTCTCCACCTGAGACCACATGAGTTACATTTATGGGCCACTCCTTGCCCTTATGTTGGGCTAATTAACTAACATTTATGGGGCAGCTGCAGTGAGGGGCCTGTTGGACATAAAAGGATACAAGGATGACTAAGACACAGTTTCTGTCCTCAAAGAGTCCCAGATCCTTAGGCAGCTCAGGGCACATAGAAGGGTCACACAGGGAGAAAGGTGGAAATGCTCCAAGAGGGGCCATGTGTGGGAGCTGGTAGGAAAGGCATGTGGGATTTTGCCACAAGGAATTAGGGAGGCTTCCTGGAGGATGTGCTTTGGCAGGAGTGGGGGCAAGGCCAGGAGAACATGGGTTGTGTCTGAGACACAGGGCAGATGGAGGGGATTGTAGGTGGGAAGGCCAGGCTAGAAGTGGACCTCAGCCTCAAAGACAGACTATCCTTGTTTGTCTGACGTTCTGGCTGGCAGTGTGACTCCATCGCACTGTGGAACGGACTCCTAGAAGGCAGGGTCGTGGGTGGTTCTTGCCCCCACCAGCTCCTGTGAGCCCCCTGCGGTCGTGGGAGGTAGGTGGTTGGAGGCACAGGCTTACTGCTGCCTGCCCTGTTTTGTGCTTTACAGACAAGCTCACCAGCGCCAGCAAGGACGCCCTGAGCACACACACCAGCCCCAGCCAGTCACCCAGCAGTGTGCACGGCTCCCGCCGGGGCAGCATCAGCAGTGTGAGCAGCGTGAGCTCCGTCCTGGACGAGAAGGATGATGACCGGATCCGCTGCTGCACACACTGCAAGGACACGCTGCTCAAGAGGGAGCAGCAGATAGACGAAAAGGAGCACACGCCCGACATCGCGAAGCTCTACGAGGTGACTCGTGTGCCGTCTTGGATCTGGTTGGAGAGGCAGAGTCAGTTGTTCCTTATGTGCAAGCCTGCAGATTTTGGAGGATGTTTGGAAAGTTGTTCTTTGAATCATTTTTAGTTTCTGCTAAAGGGCCACAGTGTGCCTTCCTAGCTAAGGGCCTGGGTGAGTCACAGAGTCATCCTGGGTGTGTGGCAACTTATTCCATTACCCTCCTTGCCAACTTGAAAATTGGAAGTTGGAGGCTCTGGTGGTCCTGGAATAAGGGGATAGGTTCTGGGGCGGGAGCCAGTGGTGAACAGTGGGCCAGAGAAGTCCTGGGAAATTCACCTGGAAGCTTCAGGCTTTCCTAGTTTGAGAAACTGCCCCTAGGCTGAGGCTTCCCCTTTGAGTCCTCTGAATGCCTCTGCTCATTACCACCGGTGACCTCAGTAGAAGTGCAGACGGAGAGGAACGTAGTGTAGTGCAGGAACGTGGGATGTAGAGTCAGACTGGTGGGGAGACCGGGTTGGCCTAGTGGCAGGCTGAGAATGATTAACCAGGTGGGGGTCGGGCTGGGCCAGTAGGAGTTGGGGAGTTCCTCCGACAGAGGAAACTGGCAAAAGTCTGAGCAGAGAAAGAACATGCAACTCTCTGGTGACCACTGAGTGGTCGCTGTCAGCAGTTCTGGAGGTTGTAAAGGGCTGAGTTTCTGGACTCTCCATGAAGATTACTAGAAACGCTGTTAGTTAAACCTTGTGCTGAGCTGCAGGTGTAGCCGTTATTCATTCCTTACGTGGAGTTCAGGACCTGAAAACTCATTTTTATAAATAGCCACATGCTTTTTGCTTCCTTTTATTTTCCATTCAGAAGGGCAGATTTATTGGGAAAAGGAGAAAAGAAGAAGGTGTCTGCATAGACCCAGGCGGGTAATCTAGGGACAAGAACTTGCTTCCTTCTTTTTTTTTTTTTAAAGATTTATTTATTTATTTATACAAGCACTGGGTACAGTCAGAAGCACGGGAGGGTGAGAGAATTCACCAGAGTCGGAGCGGAGAGCAGAGCAGGCAGACAGACCGAGTACACTGCTGAGGGGAGCAGCGGGTGGCAGGAGAGGTCTGCGCGCTATGTGGGACCCTCACTCGGTGGCCGGGGATCGAACCAGAGCTGCAGAGGCTGCGCAACCCAGCGCTCAACCGCTGCACCACCGGGGAGGCCGCGTCCCTTCTTTTTTGAAGAAAGCCTGGAGATCGCTCGTGCCAGGGTCTTATATCACCTCGGAGACAAAGAGTGTACCAACTAATTGTTTTTCTCTGCCTTGGTACACTCAGTGGCTTGTGTCCTGGAGGGCCTTAACTCCCCTCAAAGTCGCGAGTACCACCCTCACTTTCCTTCCTGCAAGATTTTTGCTTGTAAAGTGGACGTGTAAGTCAGGGAAATAACGCTCAGAACAAAATGAAACAAAAAACCACTCTTGACATTTTTCCATTTTAGAAACTGTTCAGAGAACCGTCTCTGTTGATTGGCTCATGGGTGGGCTTATCCGTACCTTAAGAGAACCACTCACCTCTTCTTTTTTGTTCTTAGAAATTACGACTTTGCATGGAGAAAGTTGACCAAAAAGCGCCTGAATATATCAAGATGGCAGCATCACTCAAGTAAGCTCTTCCTGTTTCTCCAATTCAGTGGTGACTATTTTCTTGCATTTTAGGGCAATTCTTCAATAACTGAAAAAGAAAATCTTAACTCCGTGCTTATCTTCTGTGACTAACTGAAGAGAATCTTTGTCATGTCTGTGGCCCACACTCCCGTGTTAGACTCCGTGTGGCCTCCTCAGGTGGCCCAGCTGCTCTGGTCAAGCGGGTTTGGGAAGGGCAGGAGGGCTGCATGCAGCTCCTGGGGGTGAGCAGAGGCAATAGGCTTCGTGCTCACAGCCACGTAGGTGCCACTTCAGGGTGACACAGGTTTAGGGCACAGCAGGCATTTCCTTTAGGGCATGGCTTGGTAACCTTTGACCCACAGTCCAAATCTAGTCTGTTCCCTATTTCTTTTTTCTTTTTTTTTTTTTAATTTAAGGTATAATTTGCATAATTGTGAAATTCACGCTTTTAAAGTGTACAGTTCATTGGTTTTTAGCATATTCACAAGGTTGCTCAGCCATCAGTACTATCTTAATTCTAAAACAGAAATGATAAGTAACCCCATGCCCATCAGCAGTCACTGCTCATCCTACTCGCCCTGTATCCACCAGTTACTCTCTGGATTTGTGCATTTTGGACACCTCCCATGAGTGAAATCACAGACGTGGCCCTGCGTCTGATTTCTTTCACGTGGTATAACGTTCTGTAGACTCTCCCATGTGGTACACATGGCAGTGCTCCTCCTTCTTGTGCGGAACATCAAGTGTACAGACCACGTCTTGTGCATCCACTAGTCCTTTCCTGAACATTTGGCTTCTTTCCACTTCGGCTGTTATGAATGATTCATGTACAATTGTTTGTACACGTGTGGATGTGTATTTCTCTTGGGCATATACCCAGGAGTGGAGTTGCTGGGTCCCCTGATAACTCTGTATTGGGGGAACTGCCTGACTGTTTTCCAGAATGACTGCACCCTTTACATTCCTCCAGCAATGGAGCAGCGTTTCTGTTTCTGCACATCCTTGCCAGCACTGGCTGTTACTGCTTGGTCTTATAAAAAAGTGTTCCTGGAGCACGACCATGCCTGCTTGTTTGATTGCTGTTGGTAGCTGCGTTTGCACCATAGCAGCAGAGTTGAATGGTTACAACAGAGACTCTCTGGCTTGCAAAGATGAAAATATTTATTATCTGGTCCTTTATGGAAAGTAATTGCTAACCCTTTTTTAAGGATACTGCATCTTCTATAGATTAGAGATAAGTGAGCTAGAATTTGAGGTGCTGTTAGCACCAGCATCAGATTATTTCATCCCCTTGACTGTGCATTTGCGAGATAGTCATTGAGCAGCAGGGATGTGCCAAGCTCTGATCTAGGTGCCAGAGCTGAACAAGACAGTGCCCCTGCTCCGGAGCTGCATTGTTATGGGGCACCAGCCATCACCAAGTGAACAGATAGTGCACAGGAGCACTCATCACTACCTGAGGGGACTAGAACTGGTTGACATGATGGAGAACAGGGCAGCTGATTGCAGATTTTGGATGACCTTGATATTTTGCACACACGGAGGAGAAAACAAGCTAAAGCACAAGTCGTCTTAATACTGGCCCGATGTTCTTTTGGCAAACTATGCAGTAAGAGATAATGAAACAACTTAATTGAATCCTCAAATTACAGTGTACACCAATATTTTCCAGCTAAGATTGATTTATAGACGGTAAAATAGGGAAACAGGGGCCTCCCTGGTGGTGCAAGGGCTCAAGTCTTTAGCACTGTGAAGCTATCGGCAGTCACTGCAGCGCGAGTTCCATCCCCGGCTAGTCAGGGAGCAACCCACATGGCACAGCAGACCTCTCCTGTCTCGCCCGCTGCTCCCCTCAGCAGTGTATTTCAGTCAGTCCACCTGTTCTGCTCCCTGCTCTGTCTCTGGTGAATCCTCTCACCACCACCCCCAACCCCCGCACCTCTGGCCTATACCCCAGCTCTTGTAGGCATAAATAAAATACATCTTTAAAAAAAATAGGGAAATATAGCTTAAATTATTGCTGTCTCAGGAAGGTTACTGAGCTGGTCATTGCTGAGATTGGATGCATAGCAGAGGTTATCGGAAATGTTTCTCTCCTCGGAAACATTGGTTAAGCATGGCCCGTGTATGAGTTACTAAGCATACAAATGTGAAAAGTCATAATCACTGCACTTGGAATTCAGCAGTCTGGTGGGGGTAATGGACTTCTGAATGAGCAGTGCTGAGATCACAGGGTAACTGTGTTCTTCCTCTGAGACTAGAGTTCAGCCAGCTCTGGCCTTCCCTGAGGTCACCGCCTCCACCCTAGGCAGAGTTATTCCCTCCCTCCATTTTTGATTTGGAATCAGTGTGCTTTTCTCACACCGCTGCTCACACACAGGGAACTATTGTTCATGTGACCCAGGAGCTGGGGCAGTTGACATGCTGCTTTGTGGGGTTCTTTGGCAGCTTTCCAGTTGTTCTTGTTCTCCCTATGTAGTCTTTGAGTGAGAAAAGTCATGTGCTTTCTGCTTTGGTATAGTGGAACCAACTCACTTAGTAAATCACTTGTTATGTCTTAGAAGACAGTGAAATGCGGCAAAGTAGGGCAGTAGATTCAGTTGCATATAATTTTTTTAAAGATTTTTTTTTTATTTATGCATGCAAGAGCTGGGGTGTAGGCCAGAGGGGTGGTAAGAGGATTCACGAGAGACAGAGTGGGGAGCAGAACAGGCGGATCCACTGAAACACACTGCTGAGGGGAGCAGCAGGCAAGACAGTAGAGGTCTGCTGCGCCATGCGGGTGAGCTCCCTGGCCAGGGAATGAACTTGCTGCAGTGGCTGCTGATAACTTCATAGTGCTGAGACTTAACCCCTTGCTCCACCAGGGAGGCCCCCAGTCACATATATTTTGATGATGAGTGTTAAGTAATAGCTAGTTCTGTCCTCAGAGACCTAAAAACAAGTCTGTCCCCAAGAGTGGCTTCCAGTTGGTTAGCATATTTTGAAAAGGAATGAACACTGCATTATATATAAGTTTGAAATGCCACTTGGAAAGAATTAACTGTGTCTCCCTTTGTGAGGCCTCAAACTTTAGACTCTTTGACACTACCCTCTCCAGTCAGTGTGACAAAACTTGGATCAAACATCTCTGATTTCTCCTTAGTGCTGGAGAGACAACCTATAGTCTGGAACATGCCAATGACCTTCGGGTGGAAGTACAGAAAGTATATGAGCTAATAGATGCTCTAAGGTAAGTCCTGGCAGGTGCTGTCTATCCTGCTGCCTTGAGTGGAGCAGGTGCTATTTTGATGAGGTGGTGGGTGGCTGGCAGACCTGAGCTCCCTCCAAGTCCTGGTAACAGTGGGTATGTGTTGGAAGGAGGCTGAGGGAGGTGCCATCCCCGGCACTCTTCATCTCAGTGACTGTTGGCCCAGGATTTTTTTTTTTTTTTTTTTTTTTTTTTAGAGGCATGCTTTATTTATTTATTTTATTTGTTTGTTTGTTTTTTGTTTATACATGCACTGGGTACAGTCAGAAGCGCGGGAGGGTGAGAGAATTCACCAGAGCCAGAGTGGGGAGCAGAGCAGGCAGAAGGACCGAAGTACACTGCTGAGGGGAGCAGCGGGCGGCAGGAGAGGTCTGCGCGCCATGTGGGACCCTCCTCCGGTGGCCAGGAAGCAGCCGGGGATCGAACCGGCGCCACAGAGGCCGCGGGCAGCTTCGCAACCCAGCGCTCAACCGCTACGCCACCGGGGAGGCCCTGGCCCAGGATTTTTAATGTGCATTATTGGTGAAGCACTAGGCGCTAACTATTGACACCAGCTACATGCTACTCACTGGATATCTTGCATAGAGTTGCTCATTTATTCTGCCAGAGTTACCCTGTGGTGCAGGGACTAATATCCCCATTTTCTAAGTGAGAAAATGTACCACAGCTAGCAAGTGGTGGTGCCAGGCTGGAAACTTAGCTTCCATCTTCAAGTTAACAGCTGCCTTTTAACCTGTGCTGGCTGCTGGGGTTACATCAGCCCTTGAGGTGTAGGAAGTACAGTGACTCAGGAAGAACTGGAATGAGGAATCTTTCCCTATCCTTGCATGCACAACTGGCTCCATATTGGGTTGTCAGAAAAGTCATGACATATTTTTTCTATTTTTCAAGCAAAAATGTGTCATGACTTTTCCGACAACCCAATAATTTCTAGGGCCTGGTACAAAATTGAAAATTTTGAATGAAAATTAAAAATTTGAGTGAAAATTCAAGTCCCTTTTTCAAAATTATTAAGACCCATTAAGAAATGTGGTCCTGCCTGGTGGTGCCGGGGTTAAAGTCTCAGTGCTATCAAGCTATCGCCAGCCACTGTGGCATGAGTTTGATCCCCGGCCAGGGAGCTACCCACATGGCACAGCAGACCACTCGTGTCTCACCTGCTGCTCCCCTCAGCAGTGTATTTCAATAGATCTGCCTGCTCTGCATCCTACTCTGTCACTGGTAAATCCTCTCACCCCCTGCACCTCTGGCCTACACCCTAGTTCTTGTGTGCATAAATAAATAAAATAAATCTTTTTTAAAAAAGGACTCATTAAGAAATTTGAGGCCGTGACAGTAGAATAGCTTGGTTGCACAGGACCCTCAATGTGCTGATTCTCTCAATGGCTGACTGTGTGTCATGCACCCCATGCTGCGTTAGAGGCCTTGGGTGTAGCCAAAGGGTCAGACCCAGCTTCAGGGACACTCCCGTGGAGTTTAACTCTTTTCCACAAATCTTCCTTGACAACTCGGAGACTTTTCATCTTTGTTTCTGAGGCTGGCAGCACCCATTGTACTGATGTGTTTGTTCCAATCCAGTAAGAAGATCTTAACCTTAGGCTTGAACCAGGACCCTCCACCACATCCAAACACTTTGCGGCTGCAGAGGATGATCAGATACTCGGCTACACTCTTCGTGCAGGTAAAACCTGAGGAGAAGACCCATCACACACTCCTACCCTGCTCTCTGCCTCTCAGGGCAGACCATGCCAGCAGTTTGCTTATTTTCTGTTTGTGTAGGAATATATACATGGTATATTTTTTTAAGATTATAAATGCATTACACCACATTTAGAGAAAAGTCTGGATTTCCAACAGAAGTGAAAACTACTTTTAATACTGTGGCCCAGTACAATCACTCATGAGTCATTCTGGTATATTTTCTTCCCCATTTGTATTTGTTACATAAGTCATTACAATTAGGACATATTTGCAAGTTTATGTCTTTTTATCACTGAATTTTATATCACAAGCACTTTTTTACCTAGCTCTCAGATACTTTGAATGGCTGCAGAATACTGCTTTGACTGTTTATGCCATGCTTTATTGAGCCACTACCCTTTTGTGGGTCATTTAATAGATGCCCATTTTTTGCTATTAATGAATATCGCCTGAGAGACAGTTGTACATAGCCTTTCTTCCTTGGATGGGCTTCTAAGGGACTCTTCTTCGACCATTGGTTGGGGGGGAAACAACTGATTCAAGGATAGAATACCTCGGTGGTTCGATCTGAGTTGTTTCTACTTCAGAAAGCCTCTTCTTAGCAGGTCCCAGTTAACTGCCTTCAGGCTCCCTGACAGATCTCACAGAGGCTTGGCAGGTTCTCCCCAGCACTTTACTGCAGAGAGGTGGGCCCTTTCTCCTTGTGATTTTTACTTCTGGATTTAGTCAGTACCAGCTAGGCACCAGGCAGTGTTTTAGGTGCTGGGCATCCTACCGTGGGCAAAAAGACAAACATTCCTGTTCTTATAAAAGCTTATATTCTAGAGAATGGGTAGATAAGAAATAACTAAAAGATATGGCTTCTAAGATGGTGCAACGTGCTGTGGAGAAAGGCAAAGCAGGCGAGGGGGGTGGAGGCTCACATGGAGGCTTACAGAGCTACCCTAAACTCTTCTAGGTAAAAAATGAACCTCAACCAGAGTTTAAGTGTAAAATTTCCTACAGGAAAAGTTGCTTGGCTTGATGTCACTACCAACCAAAGAACAGTTTGAGGAACTGAAAAAGAAGAGGCAGCAGGAAATGGAGCAGAAGAGGATCCTGGAGAGACAGGTGAGTGGAAGCAGGCTGCTGGGATCCGCTTCCCCCTGCAGCTCTCGGCACAAGGCCTCATGGGCTCCCCAGAGGTCCTTTGATGAGGTTGTAGTGAATCAGAACCTCTGGCTCAAAAGTTTACATTTTTCTTTTGGGCCTCACCCTCCTCTGTAGACACCAAAATTACTGTTTTTCTCCCTAGGTCCTTATTTTTCCTTTAGCATGTCTGAGATCTTCTGTCCAGAATACCAGAAGGACTGGCTGTTCTCCCTCTGGTAGAGGTTGCAGGCAACCCAGACACCAGGGAGTTTTTCATAGAACTCTTTGGGATTTGCTCTCTTAAGCAGAAAGTGACACACGTGTTTGATGCTGTGCGAGCTCCTGCATACATCATGGTGGTAGACCGCAGAGGTTTGAGACAAGTGGATGGCCTGTGACTCTTAAGGCTGAGAAAACCTTATCCCTTAACTTACTGTTATTCATTATTTTTAAAAACAGGTTTGTCCCTCTTGTCCCCCTGGATAAAAAGCATGACTTGATGTTAGCAGCTGGGTGTCTTAGTCCCAGGGAGGGCTTAGTGACAGCAGGCTGTGGAGGGTGGCTGATGGTGTGGCTGCTGGTGACATGGTGACCGTGTTTCTTCCCTTTCGCTTGGTATTTCCCCAGGCTGCCTTGGAATCCCAGCGAAGACTTGAGGAAAGGCGGGGTGACCCAGCATCTCGTGCAGCCAATGGGGAGGTGTCGTCCCTTCGTGGAGGCCATGCCCCTTTGAGAAAGGCTGAGGGCTGGCTCCCGCTGTCAGGCGGTCAGGGGCAGAATGAGGACTCGGACCCCCTCCTCCAGCAGATCTACAATATCACCTCGTTCATCAGTCAGGCCAAGGCTGCTGGCAGGGCCGATGAAGTGCACACCCTGCAGGAGAACCTGCGGCAGCTGCAGGATGAGTATGACCAGCAGCAGACGGAGAAGGCCATCGAGCTGTCCCGCCGGCAGGCCGAGGAGGAGGACCTGCAGCGGGAGCAGTTGCAGATGCTGCAGGAGCGCGAGTGGGAACGGGAGCGGGAGCAGTTCCAGACGGCGTCTGTGCATACTCGGACTCGGTCCCTGGACTTCCGAGAAGTCAGGCCATTTCAGCTGGAGCCTGGTAGGGAGCCTCGCACCCACCTTGCTTATGCTCTGGATCTAGACTCCTCCCCAATTCAGAGGAGTGCCGCTTCCGAGACCCCTTCACCCAGCTCAGCTCAAGAGCCCGTCAGAGTATGGTCTGGGCCGCCAGCCCTTGGGCAGGAATTCCTCCCCCAGGACACCGTGTCACAGCAAAATGAGGTGTCCTCCCTGAACCCCTTTGATGAGGAAGACCTGTCCAGCCCCACAGCAGAGGGCACAACCAGCCCTCTTGCTGCAGACCTTTCCTCTGGCCCTTCAGCCCACGTCCTGAAAGAGTACAATCCCTTTGAGGAAGCGGAGGAAGAGGAGGCAGGGACAGGGAATCCCTTCATTAGCCCAGACAGCCCAGCACCCAACCCCTTCGATGAGGAAGAAGAGCATCCCCATCAGAGGCCCCTGAGCCCTCCTGTTCCCAGCAACCCCTTTGAGGAGGCCACCTGTACCAACCCCTTCGAGGTGGACAGTGACAGCGGGCCGGAGGGCGAGGAGCCCATCGAGGAGGAGCTGCTCCTGCAGCAGATCGATAACATCAGGGCGTACATCTTCGATGCCAAGCAGTGTGGCCGCCTGGATGAGGTGGATGTGCTGACGGAGAATCTGAAGGAGCTGAAGCGCACCTTGGCCAAACAGAAGGGGGGCGCTGACTGACCAGTGGAAGGGCAGGGCCCAGTGGGGTGGAGAGAGGGCTGGTGGGGTTGATGGAGGAGGAGAAAGGGCAAGAATTAAGATACATGCAGGTTGAGGGAGGGAATCTGCTGTTTCTTATCCTGCACGTGAAATATTTTCACTACAGCGGAAAAATAAATAGGGAGCTAGAATAGGGAGAATCAGCAGTCACTTCACTTGCAATTTCCTGGTTTTGTGGGGTTTTTTTTTGTTTTTTTTTTTTTAAGTTGGGTTTTTCCCTTAGAAGGGACTTGAAATCGCAACCGCTGAGATGTAACTGAATACAGTTCTGTCGGGCCCAAGGTAGAAATGGCGGTTGTGCTCCTGACGGGCCCATTTGTCCGGCCTCAGGCCATCATGCAGTATTCTAGGGCAGCCTTACGCAGGGCCCTTTCTTCGGCCCAGTCAGACAAGATGGACTCATTTAGACCTTGCTCTGCTCTGGCAGAGCTGCCCCGTTAGACTGGGCCCGTCACCCTGGGCTTCCTCTAGAAGGTGGGGTGGGGTGGGTTGTTTGCTAGGAAGGTAATGGAGGAGCGCTCAGGGCCTCTTTTAAAGAGCTGGTGACGGGGTAGTGATGCTTTACCAAGGTCTGTTTCCTTCTTAGTTTGGAATCTGTCTCTTTCAAGGAATTAATCTCCCAGTGCAGGGCATCGCAGTGATTCTGGTGATGCGCCGCTCAGCACGCAGGAGTGGGTGACCTTCTGTTTGATAGAGGTAGTAGTATTTGCGAGGAGAGTCCCAACCCAAGTGTTGCTTTGTTGGAACGGAATGACTGATGGATCAGTTGTCCTTCCACCAAGAAACCTCCCTCCTTTGGCAAAATTACTCTCACCTGGCTTTTTCAAAGGGACCAGCCTAGAACTTAGGGATTGTCAGGAGAGTGCAAGCTTCCCTGAGTCAGAGAGAAACGCATTTCCTAGGTTAGTTGATTAGCCTTCTTCCCTTTTGGACCATCCTGTCCTGACCTGGGACACTGGTGAGATTTTTTTCTTAACAGTATTTAGTATTAAGAAACAGATGCTTGAAGGGGCTGGATGCAGGATTATTCTGGTAGCACCACAGTACTTGAACTCTTCACCAGTTAGGGGCAAAAAGGGGAATTGTTCATTTAGCTCTGGTGCTTGGTTTACAGGAGTAGAACCCTCCCCCCTAAATGAAGTCTGACATGATGATTCTCACGTGCGCTCGCCCTGGGGTGAGTCGCTGCAGTTAATGAACAATAACTGGTCACTGGTCACTTTATATCCCATAACTAAATCACACTCTCCCCGGTGTGAGAGCTGAAATGCATCTTGTTACATTCTGGGAAGGCACCTATTGATGTCGGGAATGTCTAAAAAGCATTGTGGTGTAAAAATCCTCTGTATTTGTGGTGACGCTATTCACGTTTCTCTAGCATGTACCGGACCCTTTGGCTGAATGGGAAATCCCGGTGCAGGTGCGCGGGCCGGGGCCCTTGGCACTGGGTTCTGTCAGGAAGGGATGTGAGTGGGTTGCACCAGGTTTCCCTCGGGGGTGCGGGGGGTTGCTGCTGGGCATCCGCATGTTGCCTGGTGCAGGCCACTTTCCATCCAAGGCCACATCCTTGGTGCTTAATTCAGGAGGGTTCACAGATGTCCGCTCAAACCTTCCTGCTCTGCCTGCCTTTTCTCTGACTGAAGAGGAGGAGGCTCTTTGCATAGAGAAGTGGGCAGTTCCGGAGGGAAATGCTGCTTCCCGTCATAATTATGTCTCTGTGGGAGGAGCGTCTCAATCAGCTGGGGATTTCAATGAAGAGTAGTGAACTAACATACCCTCTCCCTGAAACCAACCCCGAGTAGCAGTTTGTGAATAATTAAGAGCATAAGGAACACACATAAGAAACATTTTTTTAAAATTAAAAAAATCACTGAATATACTAAATCAAACTAAAACCTGATGTGGGTGAATTATAGCTAGGGCCTCCCATAGCCACAGCCATGACAGGAGGCAGAATTCTCTGCCCTTCATTTCCCAGATTTCACGTAGGCACCGAGTTGGATTTACAGTGAAGGCGCCTAATGGATTGCAACACACTTCAGGTTCTAACCTCTGGATAGCGCACCTTGGCACCCGGCTCCACCCCATCAGGAAATGACTTGTTCGTGCGACGGCGCCGGTGGATCTCCTAGACGTCCCCCATGGACTGAAGAGCCTGGGGATTCGGGCATCACATGAAGGTGGCGTTTTCCTTTTATGCCTCAGTTGTATCTTTCCCTCTCTAATACACTAAGGACACTCCTCATGTCTTCGCTGTGTAGAATATACTAAAATGTAGAGTCGCCTTCAGCCACGTGCTAGGTGGGATGCTGGTATGATGGGGCGACGGAACGTAAGAGAGAAGCTGGTCTCTACCAGTACCCAGGCCGGGGAGCAGGTCGTGCTGGTCATCAGCGACAGTGTGCGGGTCATCGATTTGCATGCACTACTCTGGGACCTTGTATTGAACCTTTTTAAAAAAATAAAATTACAGATGTAGTGGTTGGGAGTGTGTCTGTGTGTGCATGGGTGTTACAGAGAATCACCAGATAACGTCCCCATTTTTAAAAATTTTAAACTAAACTTAGAAACCATGAGGGACAGAAAACATCAGAGGTTACCTGGGAAGAGGGAAAGAGACCAACTCCAAGGGCAGATATGGGGGGAGGGGCGTGGAACTTCATAGAGTGAGTGGGAACAGAACCAGCAGATTGCACACAGAAGGATTTTACTGGATGCAAATCCTGCTTTTTTTTTAAAGAGTGAAAAGAGCCTAAAAGATACCTCACATTTTACTGTTCCTTTCTGCACATCCATAGGGATTTTTACTATCTACAAGAAAAACCATAAGCCCTGATTTTTTTTTTTTCATGCAGAAAGGAACAGTAAAATGTGAGGTATCTTGACTATACAAAATGTTTTTTTTTTTTTAAAGATTTATTTATTTATTTATACAAGCACTGGATACAGTCAGAAGTGCGGGAGGGTGAGAGAATTCACCAGAGCCAGAGCGGGGAACAGAACAGGCAGACTGACGAAATACACTGCTGAGGGGAGCAGCAGACGCCACAGGAGAGGTCTGCTGGTGCCATGTGGGACCCTCGCCAGCAGCCTGGGATCGAACCGATGCTGCAGAGGCTGCGGGCAGCTTCGCAACCCAGCGCTCAACCGCTGCGCCACCAGGGGAGGCCCCCTATACAAAATGTTTTAAAGAAAAACATTTTTTTGTATCTAATAATTTGGCCTGGATTTTTTTCCTGGGAATGAAAGTGTTAGAAATGCTTATTTAAAATTTCACAAGTCTCACGTATTAAGGTGTTAGAAAATAATGTCAAGACTAGTTCCACAAGTTATTTTACTATGAATATATGTAAAACTAATTAAAAAAACTTTTAGTTAAAAAATGGAGTTTGGGCAGTCAAAACAAATTTTCTTAATATACAAAAATTCAACTGTAACATGTTGCTAATAAACTCCATATTTAGCTAAAACTTGACCAAATTATTTATTAGAATTTCAAAATAGGGCCTCCCCTCCTCCTCCTCAGCGGGTTGAGCCCAGCACTTTGAAGCTGTCTGCAGCCTCTGCAGTGTGGGTTTGATTCCCAGCCGGCCAGGGAGCTACCCACATGGCGTGGCAGACCTCTCCTGCCTCTCCTGCTGCTCCCCCCAGCAGTGTATTTCAGTCAATCTGCCTGTTCTGTTCCCCACTCTGTCTCTGGTGAATCCTCTCACCCACTGCACCTCTGGCCTATACCCCAGTTCTTGTATAAAAATAAACTTTAAAAAATTCAAAATACACACATATGAAATATGTAACTGATTATTTAGAACCGCCTCAAAATCTATTAAAAAGATAAACTAGCTTTGCCTCTACAGCCTCCAGCTGCAGTGAGGACCTGCCAAAGAGGCTGCTATGGGGGTTATTCCTTTAGCTTGTGGTGTGGGTGTGTGAGATGCTCGATACCACCCAGGGGAGGATGCAGAAGTCTCTGAGAAGAGACCAATAAAGTAGAAATGTGCCTCCCTTATTTTTGAAGCACTTCTTTTTGGTTTCGGATTCTGCTTCATCATCATCACTTCCATCACTGTTCTCGTCCTCATCTTCCCTCTGTAACCATTTTCAGATATGTACTGGCTCAGATCTTCCTAGGTAACACAGCTACAAGAAACTGAAAAGTTGCCCATTCCCTGGAGTATTTGATAAACCACTTTACTTTTCCTCTGGCCTGCCTGGAAGAATCGGGGGCTTGATATTAAACAGAATTCCGTGGCTTTGGCCATGAGCACCAGCGCCTCCTGCTTGATGCTGACCCTGGAGCTCTTCATGCTGAAACACACGCGGGACAGGGGTGACAGGAGCGCTGCTCCCTGCACTCGTCTGTCAACGACCATGTCCGCCATCTTTCCACCTCTTCTCCGGAGCCACCCCACCACGAGACCCTCCTAGTCTTTTGCCCTCCTAGGGAGTGCCCTGCCACTCCCTACTCTTTTGCCAGTGCCCCCCATTGGCCAAATCTAACCGAGGCCAGAGGGCAAGGGAGCCTGTTTGTAGCCCTTTTAGGGCAGGTGGTCCAGGTGGAGATGAGCAGCAGGTGGGGAGGGCCCAGACGTGGGCAGTGCGCGATCTAATCAGCCTTCTGCCAAGGGGCATTTAAATTTCTTTTATTGGCTGTAACAGATAATGCTGCAGCAGACATCACACCTATCTGCACTCAACTAAAAGCAGAATCGAAACTAAGTCAAGAAATAAGCTTTTAAAACTTCGGCTTGTTCCAAACTTACTTCCAAAAGAGCTCCAACAGTTCAAACCATCACCTCCTAAGGTAGTGTTTCCTCACCTGTCTAACTCAAAAAAAACTTTCTATAGGTAAGAGGTGAACAAGAATCCTACTCTAGCTCACTTTGAAGAGATGACTTCACGTGTTAATATGCCATGTGAAGATCTTTTTGGCTTACACAAAAGAAAATGCTAGGGAAAAAAAAACACCAACAAAGGAAATGCAGTAAAGCTCATGCTTCTGACCGGCTCCGCGGAAGACGAGACCCAGGTAAGGCAAGAATCAGTGCATTGGAGATGGATTAATAGAAACTTCCCTACTGAAATGCAAAGGGAAGAAGCAATAAAAAGAACAGAATAGAAAATGGAATTATAGGGCAAACATGAATGTTATCAAACAATGAAACATGTTTGTAATTAAAATACCAAAAGGGTGAAAAATTAAGATTCAAGAAGAAATATTTGAAGTAATAATGGCAAGGACTTTCCAAAATTAATGACAGTCACCAACCCACAGATATAGGAAGCTCAGAGAATCTAAGCAGGATAAATATGGGGGAAAAAGCTCTACTCAGGGTATCTTACTCAAACCATAAAAAAGCAAATTCAAAGAGACACTCTTAAAAGAAGCCAGAAAAAAAAAAAATCTTACCTATAGAGAAATAAAGAATTGGAGGTCCTTAGCTACCAGGTAAGAAGAGAACAGAAGAAATACTTAAAGTGTTGAAAGAAAAGTCCCCCACCAACCTGAAATTCTACACCTGGCAAAATCAGCCTTTAAAAGTGAAGGCGAAATAAACACTTTCTCAGGTGGGTGAGAAATTCAGAAATACATCTTATCCTTATCCATGTTTTGCTCACGAAAAAGTGGCAGGTCAGAGTTAAGTGGCTGAACTGGGGAGGAACAGATTCCAAACTTTTCCATCTTGCAAATCATTTTTTAAAATCAGTGTTAGAGCCTCCCTGGTGCCGCAAGGGGTTAAGCACCGCACTCTGAAGCAATCAGCAGCCTCTGCAGCTCGAGTTGGATAGCTGGCCAGAGAGAAACCCACATGGCGCAGCAGAGCTCTCCTGACTCTCCCACTGCTCCCCTCAGCAGTGTGTTTCAGTCAGTCTGCCTGTTCTGCTCCCCACTCTGTCTCTGGTGAATCCTCTCACCCCCCGCATCTCTGGCCTGTATCCCAGCTCTTGCATGCATAAATCAATAAATCTTAAAAAAAAAAAATAAGCCAAGTGAGGTTTCTGAAGTTAAGGAGGAGGAGGAAGAAAGGGTCTAGGGGCTTAGGGGAGGGGAGGGGAGAGCAGTGGCGTGTGGGGAAGTTGCAGAGCAGTGTGTGAGGTGTGATGTCCTATTGGGAAGATCCAAGTGGGGTTTGACTTGTTGACTCAAGGTGGTGTGCGTATGGATGTTTATTGTGCAACCATCAATTATCTGCATGTTTGTAACTATATATATTTTTCCTTCGGGGGAGGAAGACTAACTGCACAGCGGGAAACCACGCTTCGCCGGAAGACAGCGTGCGCTCCAGCTGTCCCCGCGCAGCCCCCCAGGCCGAACTACAAGACCCAGGCTGCCCCGCGGCGCGCGCTGCCCGCCGGGAGTCGCGCGCTGCCCGCCGGGAGGCGCCGCGGCGAGTCTGCGCGGGAAGTGGCCGCCGCGCCGAGAAGAGGCGGCGGCGCCCGCGGCCCTCGTCACTCCCGCCGGCCGGCCCGACCCGCCGCCGCCGCCGCCATGCCCATGAAGGGCCGCTTCCCGATCCGCCGCACCCTGCAGTACCTGAGCCAGGGCGACGTGGTGCTCAAGGAGTCGGTGAAGGTCCTGACGGTGAACTACAACACGCGCGGGCCGCTGGGCGAGGGCGCCAGGTCAGTCGGGCCCGAGGCCCCCGCGGCGCGTCCCGGCGCCCACCTCGGGGGCGCGGGGGTGTCGGGGCCCGCGGGGCCGCTGCGCGGTGCAGGAGCCGCTGGCCCCGGGCACCTGTGCCCCGTCCCGCGCACCCCGCGCACCCCTCTGTCCGCGCCCGGCAGCGGGAGCGGAGGAGCGCTTCATCGGGCTCGCGAGAGGCGTCCTCGTGCAGGGCCCGTTCTCGGCGCCGCGGCGGGGACACGGGGCCGGCCGACCCGAGGGCAGCCTGGAGAGGAGCGGCAGCCCGAAGGAGCCTGCAGGGCCGGGCTCACGGGGGGCGACGCGCTGGCACTGCCCCCCCGAGTCTTTCGCCAGTGCCCCCCGTTGGCCAAATCCGACGGAAGCCCGAGGGCAAGGGAGCCTGTTTGTAGCCCTTTTAGGGCCGGCGGTCGGGGCAGAGATGAGCAGCAGGTGGGGAGGGGCCCGACGTGGGCAGCGCGTGAGCTAATCAGCCCTCTGCGAGGGGCGCGTGCATTTCTCCCGTGGCTGTAACACGGGGCTGCAGCAGACGCCACACCTGTCTGCACTCAAAGCAGAGTCGAAACTGAGCTGTGCTTTTAAGATTTTGACTAGTTCCAAACTAACCAACCCCTAAAAGAACTTGAACATTGTCCTACCATCACCTCCTTAGGGAGCGTTTCCTTCCTTATCTAACTTAAGAAAAACTTTCCGTATGTAAGAGGCGCAGGGGGTTAAGTCTTAGCACTATGAAGCTGTCCGCAGCCACTGCAGCACGATCCCCGGCCAGCCAGGGAGCAACCCACATGGCACAGCAGACCTCACCTGTCTCACTCTCTGCTCCCCTCAGCAGTGTAGATCCATCCGCCTGTTGTTCCCCACTGTGCCTCTGGTGAATCCTTTCATCAGCCTCTCCCCACCACCCCCACACCTCTGGCCTACACGGGAGCTCTTGTATGCATAAATAAAATCTTAAAAAAAAAAACAAAAACAAAAAACAACACCCCCCTAGCTCGCTTTGAAGAGATGATGCTTTTCACGTTGATAGGCCGTGGGGTGTCTGCCTGCTCGTGGCTGTCACCTTTGTCGTGGAGTTGAAATCTTACATTGTGGAAAGCTCTGTATCAGGAAATTAGCCTTTTTTTAATAATAATTATTATTTTTTAAAGATTTATTTATTTATACAAGCACTGGGTACAGTCAGAAGCGCGGGAGGGTGAGAGAATTCACCAGAGCCAGAGCCGGGAGCAGAGCAGGCAGAAGGACCGAAGTACACTGCTGAGGGGAGCAGCGGGCGGCAGGAGAGGTCTGTGCGCCATGTGGGATCCTCGCCCGGTGGCCGGGGAGCAGCCGGGGATCGAACCGGCGCTGCAGAGGCCGCGGGCAGCTTTGCAACCCAGCGCTCAACCGCTGCGCCACCGGGGAGACCCAGCCTTTTGTTTTTGTTCTGCAAATACTTTGTCTTGGCAAATGTTGATTTGTCCTTGGTAAATTTTGTGATGCCAAGGTTTTGATGTAACTTACATTTGTCCGTGTTTCAAACTTGAGTTGAAAGGTTTCCCTACTCCTGTATTGTAAAAATATACCCACATGTGTTTTTGTGGCTTTGTTTATTTTTAAATTGCTGTGTAGCCCACATGCCTTGCCAGTGGCAAACACACAGCTTCTCAATCGTGCGCCGTGTGACTCCACACGGATTAAGGTCTGGGGCATTTCAGGGTTCCATCTCCACACTGATCCCCTGCTTTGGCGAGTTTTAGGTTAGTGTGCAGTGTGAGGTAGGGCTACAGATTTTTCCCCCAAAGATAAGAACTGGGGTGTAGACCAGATGGGGGTGAGAGGATTCACCAGAGACAGAGCTGGGAACAGAACAGGCAGACTGACTGAAATACTCTGCTGAGGGGAGCAGCGGGGAGACAGGAGAGGTCTGCTGCGCCATGTGGGTCAGCTCCCTCATCGGGCATCAAACTCAGACTGCATTGGCTGTGGATAGCTTCATAGTGCTGAGACTTAACCCCTTGCGCCACCAGGGAGGCCCGGGCTATGGATTTCTTTTCTCTCAGATGACAAACCAGGAGTCCTGACACCTTTCACTCCACTCATTCAGAAATCCACTCATTCAGAAATCCACTCATTCATTCCTGAGAATGAGTCTTTCTAGGGAGGCAGGGTCTTTGGAGAGTCCGATGAAAGTTCTGGACTTTGTCCCTGGAAAAGTGGACAGATGCAAAACTTTTCGGTTAAAAACTCTTATGGGGGCCTCCCCGGTGGCGCAGCGGTTGAGCGCTGGGTTGCGAAGCTGCCCGCAGCCTCTGAGGCGCCGGTTCGATCCCCGGCTGCTCCCCGGCCACCAGAGGAGGGTCCCACATGGCGCACAGACCTCTCCTGCCGCCCGCTGCTCCCCTCAGCAGTGTACTTCGGTCCTTCTGCCTGCCTGCTCTGCTCCCCACTCTGGCTCTGGTGAATTCTCTCACCCTCCCGCGCTTCTGACTGTACCCAGTGCATGTATAAACAAAAACAAACAAACAAACAAATAAATAAATAAACAAACAAACATGCCTCTATTAAAAAAAAAAAAAAATTAAAAAAAAAAAAAAACTCTTATGGGTTTAATTTCTTCTCTTTTGCAGGAAATTTGTGTTTTTTAACATACCTCAGATCCAATACAAAAACCCTTGGGTGCAGATCATGTTGTTTAAGAACATGACACCATCACCTTTCCTGCGGTTCTATTTAGGTGAGTCGGGTTCTGAGCGGTTGGTACCTGTCTGTGCTCCTGCCCTGCTGTCAGGGCTGAGTGGAGTGCTGGTGACCCCCAGTGCTCCCAGCACTGGCCTCTGAGTCCTGGCACCCTGGACTGCGGGGAACCCAGCTCTCTCTCCCCTCACCTTATGCCCCCACGTCTGCTTTCCTACCTGCCCAGTGTTCTTGACACCTGTGCTCATGCTGGCCACTCTGCCACAATCCCTTCTTCTTTTCTTGGCTTATTTTTTTCTTTTTAAGTCCTTCAGGACTTTTGAGTCCTGCAAGACCCAGCGCGGGCACCCCTTCTTGCAGGAAGTCTTCCCTGCACGTTTGGATTGCCACCCTTCTCCCCCAGAGCTCTCCCAGTGCTCTTGAGCTGTGTCCACATGTCCTCTCGGGACCGGCTGCGCTTACTCTCTGCTCCTCAAGGTGCTAAGTGAATGTGGAGCCAGTTACATGGGGCTCAGTAGTGCCCAGAGGTTGGTTTGGGCAACTCTATTCATTCGTTCTGACACTAAGTGGGGCGCGTTCCCCTGGCTTATTTCTCAAGTGAAGGCAGATGTTCGCCTTCCAGGGCGGCACGATCTGAGGACTTGTGGACTGGGTACGTGTCAGGAAGCGAGACGATGGTGCTCTTCCCTCGGCAAGAGCAGGTGGAGTGTCCTCGAGCGCCAGGCATGAAGAACTCTGCCCTTGAGGAGATTACTTCTAGCAGGAAAGACACGAGGAGCGAGACAACTGTTAGCAGGATTGCCCCTGGACCATAAATGCCACGAAAAAGAGAAGTAGGGCAGGGAAAGGGAGGTGGAGAGAAAGGTGGTATATTTTTTACAGATTTGTGCGTGTAGTTTGCCTTATAAAAAACGAAATTCATTTTTATTGAGGCACAATTGACATGTAACATTGCTTTCAGGTCCACAACGATTTTGTATTTATGTAGCCAAGCGCTCACCACCAGTAAGCCTGTCCGTCACCTCAGTTACAGAATTTCCCTTCCTAGCGGGGAGAACATTTAAAGTCGACTCTTGACAGTTTCCACGTGCCCCGTACAGTATTGCGGACAGTGTCCCCTGCCGGCCATCCCACCCCAGGACTCCTTTTATAACTGGAAGTTTGTGCCCTTTCACCCATCCCCGTGTTCACTTGACTGAGGTGTGGTGTACCCCTAATAAAATGCACAGGCCTCTGCAGGGGTTGGGGAGCTCAGGTGGTTTTAGAATCTGCGCCACCGCTTTTTCAGGGAAGGTGCCGAGCAACTGTGTTACTCGGGAAAGTTCCCTTTTGCTCCTTTCCGCTCACTTCCTCCTTGCTCCAGAGGCAGCCACTGCTCAGGCTTTTTGCCCCATAGATTAGCTTTGCTTGTCTCACAATGTCACATAAATAGGATCTCATAGTGTTTATCTTTTTGTGTCTGGCTTGCTCATCATGTTTTTGAGATAATCCATGTTATAGGTAAGTTGATTACTTTTGGCTGTTCAGCAGTATTCCATTTTAGGATTATATCATAGTTTACTTATCCATTCACCTGTTGATGACCATTTGGGGTTTTGTTAGATGCTAAGACAGAATGGAATAAAGGGGAGAAGTGAGGTGGGCAGCAAAGTCTTTGGATGGTGAAGCAGGTGTTTCCTCTCAGAACAGAGAGGGAGGGAATGAGGTCACACCAGGTGCCTCAGATGATGATGATGAAGCTCGCAGGAAGAGGAGACCGGCCCAGTGGGAATTCCTCACTCTGTGTTGGGTAGAGATGGCCAGACTCGGGCCAGGAGAGGCTGGACTTGACTCTGCTGCTACGGATCCCAAAGACCCAGCTGCCGGGTTGTCAGTCAGCTGCTCCTCACAGGAGGGCCTCGCTGGAAGGGAGGTTGGGGGCAGGCCTCCCTGGCTGCCAAGGTCCTTTCTAGTTTTTGTTACTAAGAGAAGGCCACATCAGTACCTTCTTGCACAATCATCTCTGTGGCCCTGGGATGGCTTTGCTGGGTAGAATAGGCACATAATGTACTTCTCCCCCCCTTTTTTTTTTTAAAGATTTATTTATGTATACATAAATAAATGTAAGCCCTCTGGTGTAAGCCAGAGGGTCAAGGGGTGAGAGGACTCACCAGAGACAGAGTGGGGAACAGAACAGGCAGACTGACTGAAATACACTGCTGAGGGGAGCAGCGGGTGAGACAGGAAAGGTCTGCTGTGCTGTGTGGGTAGCTCCCTGGTCGGCCGGGGATCAAACTCATGCTGCAGTGGCTGGTGATAGCTTGATAGTGCTGTCTTTAACCCCTGCGCCACCAGGGAGGCCCCACATAATGTTCTTAAAACTGCCAAGCAGCCTTCCAGATGATGGTGCCATTTCCCCTCCAGTCAGCAGCTGTGAGTTTTGTGGCTCCACTTGCTCACCAGACTGGTACCGTGCAGTATTGTTCTGTAGCTGCTGTGACATGTGACCACAGACTGGGTGGCTTTAAACACAAGTCTCTCGTTGTAGTTGTATTAGAAGCTTGGACTAAAGTCCAGGTGTCAGCAGAACTGTCTGTTCTGGAGGCTCTGGGGTGAATCCTTTCCCAGCCCACAGAGGCCGCCCACCTTCAAAGCCAGCTGCGTTGCTTGCTGACCGCTCTTCCATGTCCCACCTCCCTCTGACCGCAGCCCATACCACGTCTCCTGTGGTAAGGGCCGTGACTACGGGGGGCCCACCAGGTTGCCCAGGAGAGTCTGGAATCTCTCCATCTCTGTGCACTTCACTTTAATCACGTCTGCAGAGCCCCTGTGATGGAATGTGACATAGTCACGGGCTCTGGATTAAAATGAGGACCTCTTTGGGGACCATTATTTCTGCTCACCACATTGTCTGGAATCTTAGCCATTTTCCAATCTATCACTCATCAAAATTTATTTATTTTTAAAGATTTATTTATGCATAAAGAACTGGGATGTAGTCCAGAGATGCGGATGGGGGTGGTGAGAGAATTCACCAGAGACGGTGGGGAGCAAGCAGAACAGACGGAATGACAGAAACACAATGAAGGGAGCAGCGGACGAGACAGGAGAGGTCTGCTGCGCCATGTGGGTCAGCTCCCTGGCCGGGGATCGAACTCAGGCCGTAGCAGCCACAGGGAGACCGCTCATCGAAATTTTAATTTGTGTTCCCCATGGGTATCTTTCCATGTGCTTATTGGAATATGGGCATTTATATTTCTTTGGTAAAGAGTCTGGGTTTTTTGTTCTTGAACAAAAAAATGAGCTGTTTGATTTCTTATCTAGTGCAATTCCTTTGTTAGAGAGCTATATTGTGAATATTTCCTCAGTCTGTGGCTGCTTTTAATCTTAATGACGTCTTTTGAAGAGCCGAAGTTTTAATTTTGATGGACTCCGCAGTATGTTGTTTTATGTTTAGTACTTTTTGTGTCTTAGCCAAGAAATCTCTGGCTACCCCCATGTTTGCAAGAATTTTCTTTTGTTTTTCCTTCAGAAATTTTATAGTTCTATATTTTACAATAAGGTCTGTCACCTAGTTTGTTATTTGTGGATTGAGGGTAGGTATTAAGGTTCATTTTTTAAAAAAATACTTACGCATCCAAGAACTGGGGTACAAGCCAGAGGTGGTGATGGCGGTGGTGAGAAGATTCATCCGAAACAGAATGGGGAACAGAACAGGCAGATCGACTGAAACATGCTGCTGAGGGAAGCAGTGGGCGAGACAGGAGAGGTCTGCAGCGCCATATGGGTCAGCTCCCTGGCCAGGGATCGAACTCAGGCGGTAGCGGTGATAGCACTGAGACTTATTAGCCCCTAGGCCACCAGGGAGGCCCTGCATTCCCATATAACTTTAAAATCCACTCACCAGTTTCTAGAAAAAAGCTTGGTGGGATTTATACTATGGATCATTTTGAAGAGAACAGACATTTTAATAGTATTGAGTATGTTCTGTGCTGTTGTAAATGATACTTTTAAAGGCTTCTTTCCAAATTGGTTAGCACCACACATTCTAGAAGTACAGTTGATTTTTGTATATTGACTTCCGTGTTGCAGCTTTCCTAAATTCATGTATTCCTAGTTTTTCGTTGGGGTTTTCGACATTTATAGCCATGTCACCTGCAAATCAAGATGTTTTACTTCTTTTTCAGTCTTTTCCTTTGCTTTTTTCATCTTCATTCATTGAACAAAGTAGTATATCATGCTTTACATTTTCACCTTTAATGTGGGAACGTTCCAGTTACTTGCATCCTCTCGAGCACTTGCTGTATCATCCACTTGAAAATTCTCAGCCACTCTAGTAGGTCAGTTTTTTTTTTTAAAGATTTATTTATGCATGCATGCAAGAGCTGGGGTACAGACCAGAGATGCAGGGGGTGAAAGGAGTCACCAGAGACAGAGTGGGGAACAGAACAGGCAGACTGACCAAAGTACACTGCTGAGGGGAGCAGCGGGCAAGACAGGAGAGGTCTGCTCTGCCATGTGGGTTGCTCCTTGGCAGGCGGGGGATCGAACTCGTGCTGCAGAGGCTTCAGATTGCTTCATAGTGCGGTGCTTAACCCCTTGCACCACCAGGGAGGCCCAGTAGCTCATTGTTTTTTTGTTTTTAAGATTTATTTATTTATTTATACAAGCAGTGGGTACAGTCGGAAGCGCGGGAGGGCAAGAGAACTCACCAGAGCCAGAGCGGGGAGCAGAGCAGGCAGAAGGACCGAAGCACACTGCTGAGGGGAGCAGCGGGCGGCAGGAGAGGTCTGCGCGCCATGTGGGACCCTCCTCTGGTGGCCGGAGAGCAGCCGGGGATCGAACCGGCACTGCAGAGGCTGCGGGCAGCTTCACAACCCAGCGCTCAACCGCTGCGCCACCGGGGAGGCCCAGTAGCTCATTGTTTTGATTTGCATTTTCCTAATGACTGATGGTATTATCTCTTCATGTGCTAATTATTACCCCCTCTTTTTTTGTTATTTTGGCTACATGTTTAGTCAGGTACTTTGTCCTCTATCACAGACTATGAAACGTCAGTGCAAAATAACACGTGTGTCACAGGGCTCAGCAGGGCTTACAGTCGGAGGACCTGGAAGCAGCCTTGAATGGTCTCCAGTAGGTGACTGGATCAGGAGGCTGGGGCGCACCCACCCATACTGGGGTGCTGTCTGGCTAGAAGGGAAGATGAAATATAGCTGTTTTCAGCAAAATGAATGTCATTTGAGAGAGTAATTTGTAGTAAAGCAGGTCTGGACGATAAAAAAAAATGTGGACATTTTCATAGCAGTTGGTGATTCAGTAAAGTAAAATAATCACAAAAATGAGGGGTCATTAACAAATAGGGCGCTGAGGCGGTGGTGAGGGTTAGGGGCAGGAACAGGGAGTTACGGCACGGGGTGGGGGGAGAGACTGCATGTACATAAAAAGGCCTCGCTCCTTTTCCACTCGGGGTGTCTCCCCGAGCGGTGGGAAGGCCTCAGCTGGCTGCGAGCGCTTCATCGGAGGGGCGCGTCGCGAGTGCTGCGCCCCTGCCCGGGGCTCCCTGAGGCTTTCAGAGCACGAAAGTTTTGAATTTTAATAAAGTTCCGCTTTGCCTGGTGTTTCCTTAGGGTATCGCCCCGGTGGGGTCGCGAAGGTGCTGTGTTCTCTCCAGAGTTTCACTGCGGGTTCAGCTCTTACACTCTGGGCCTGATGCGCCGAGGCCTTCCGCTCCGGAGTGGGGCGGCGGGGGCGTGCGCCCCGTGCAGGGCTTCCTCCGTTGTGCCGGCGCTGCTCCTGGAGAAACCCTGTCCACCCCCCAGGGTGTCTGGGCGTCTCTCCGCGGAGAGTCAGCTGCCGGAAGCACCGTGTCTGGTCGTCGGTCCTGCCCGGGACCCTCAAGTCTCTTCTCACGCTGGCACCTCGCCGTCTGGGTGACTGCGGCTGGCAGCGCAAGCGAATGTTCCGTTTTTCAAAACTCTCTTGGTATTCTGCTCTATTTGCATGAAGTTTAGGTTCAGTTTGTCAGTTGCTACTGTAACGCTTGCGGACAGGCAGCTCTCCGCCTAGCAGATGGAGCGCTGCCCTCTTAGCCCTAGAGCATCTCTGTCCATGCAAACTCATGTTCTTGCCTGTCCAAGGAGCCCGCTTCTCTACCTGCCTCAGGTTTGTCCGCTGGCGGCTCTAGACGGGCAGGGCGCGGGCAGCGTTACAGGTAGGTGAACAAGCGTGCGCCACCGCGGCACGTCTCCCCCCGCAGGCACACTCCCAGGCCGGCGTGTGGGGCCGAGGCCCGCGCCGCTGAGCTCTCAGCTTTCCGCCTCCCCTTTGCTTCCTTTTCCAGATACCGGGGAGCAGGTGCTTGTGGACGTGGAGACCAAGAGCAATAAGGAGATCATGGAGCACATCAAGAAAATCCTGGGGAAGAATGAGTGAGCTGCTGGGTGGACCAGCGTCTGAGGACGGGTGTTGGGAGGGGGTGTTGTCCGAGGGCCGGGGCTGCCGGGTGTCTGCAAGCCAGGCGCTCCCCCCACTGTAGAGGGGCTCGGGGTCACCCTGGCCCTCCCTGCCCACTCAGCCATTTCCCTCCTTGGGGGTCTCAGCCTGGCACCCGCCACTGACCTGCTGGGCGCTGCCAGCACCACGCATAGGCAGCAGCGGCCTTCGGGCCTCCCCTCCTCCCTCTGAAGTCCGGCAGGGCGGGATGGGTGAGGCGCCAGAGGACGCAGCTGTCTGGGGTGAGGGCGGGGAAGTCCGGGTGCGCCGCTGAGGCGCAGAACCGCTGCCCGTCCTGACTCCCGTCTGTGCTCTCTGGCAGGGAGACCCTCAACAGAGAGGAGCTGGAGAAAAAGCGACTTTCCCACCCAGGCAACTTTGGCCCCCGAAAGTACTGCCTGCGGGAGTGCATGTGCGAGGTGGAAGGGCAGGTGCCCTGCCCGGGCCTGCAGCCCTTACCCAAGGAGATGACAGGGAAGTACCGAGCCGCGCTGAAAGCCAGCGCCCAGGACTAGGCCTGGGGCCCGGGGGTGGTCCCACCCAGCTCTCAGGCTCGCCCCTGGTTCTGTCCCCCAGACTGCGGGGTCTTAGCAATAAAAAGGTCCGGTTTACACACCTGTGTAAAAGGACGAGGGCGGGGGGGTGCTTGAGAAAGGGCTGTCTGCAGTTGAGCTGCTAACTGAATGTTCTCGCTCCATAATGTCAATAAAATGCTCTTTAATCACTTGGTCATGTGGTGTGCGTCCAGTCTGACAGGCGCAAGGAGGCAGCCTGTGTGGGACAAGGTTTGGAGTGGGGAAGGTGAAGGCCACACCTGGTGGTCTCCCCGTCTTGGACTGGTCCTGTGGCCCTTTCCTGGGCTCCATTGGCTTTGCATCTTCTTCTAGACCTCACTCTGGAGAGAAGTTAAGAGCCGTCGTGGCGTGGTTGGGTCCGCTGAGCCGTCTGGCTGGCAGTGAGGACGTCTCCTCTGAGGAGGCTCTTCGGATATTTCTGAAGCCCCAAGGTAAGCGTTTGTGTAGCGCTCACCTTTGACGCAAAAGCCTACGGCCCCTACCCTAGGGTTCTGGCCAGGGCTGTGTCAAGTGCAGGAGGCCCCAGTAGCTGGCTGACAGACCGGCCTTCTAGCACTGTGCCCTCTGACTGTGGCCTCCAAGGTCATGGGCCTGTTTCCTTGGCAGACTGGTGGAGAGAAGGCACTGACAGATGGGAGTTTTGGGCTCCCTCGAGGGTTGATGTTGGCAACCTCACGGTTGGCCCTGTTCCTCCTTTTGCTCAGGAGAGTCTGAGTCGGTGGGCAGCATGCCAAGGCTCTCCCTCAGTAGCTCTCACAGAACACTGGCCCTGCTGTCACTTTAGTTATCCTGGTTTCAGTGCTCAGGGGACACCCTAGTTCTCCAGGGTCACAAGTAAAGGACCAGCAAGACCACTGGGCCCTGCAAGCCAGGCAGGAAACATTTCTGTGGGAGGCATCAGTGGGTTTAAGGCAAGGGAGGTCTGGTTTGCTCTGCTGACGAGGCCCAACGTGCTCTCTGTGAAGTGTGAAGAAAGGCAACCCTGCCTCATGGGGAGGCTGTGAGCTGATGTTTTATGAGTGTTGGGGGTGATCCCTTAGTAGGGAGAAAGAGGGCTGTTTCTCGTTTGAGGCTCCAGGGATGATTTAGTGCGATTCTGCACCCGACCTGTGTTCAGGGTGGTGGCTTGTGGGTAATGTGCAGTGGGCAGGTGTTCCTCGGATCAGGTAAGCTAGGGCTGTGTTTAGTTGGAATTCAACACCTTGGCACCCCCTCATTACCATTTTGGAGGGGCCGGGGTAGAGCGATGTCTCGCCCCTTCTCTGTCAGTGGTGTCTCTAGTGTCCCTGCCCAGGCTTTCGGCACTGCTGCTGAGGCTCCGGAAAGGCTGGCTTCCTTTTGGTTTCCAGCCTCAAGACAGCCTCACGGAAGTATTGCTGCCCTCCGCTGTCCACAGTGCCCCCGCCCGTGGCTCACCAGGACTGCCCTGAATCCAAGTAGTTGCCCCTTGAGAGAGAGAAGCCCAGTGAGTGATGGGACGGCACCCCCCGATGTACAGGCAAGTGACGAGTCACAGCTGTGAGCACCACTAGGAGACCTTCTCTTGGTCTCCTCCTCAGGCTAGAGGTGATAAATGACGGGTTGGAACGGAGAGAAATCACTGTGGATTTTTATGATCGCTCTGTTGTTGATACACACGCGTGATGCTCACCAGGCAGTCGCAACCTCGTTCTGAGGTCACGGAGGGCCATGGGGTAGCGCCTCTTAGGTCTGGTGGTCAGCGGGATGGATCTGCCAAGAGCCTGACTGGACCTTGGGACACTCCCCTGTAGAATGAGCCGTCAGGTGCCATGACGGCGAGTTCTTCCCAACCTCTGAAACCTTTTACCTCGGGTAGCAGACATCCTCCCGGGACTGCTGGTCTGGGCTGAGCTCAGCATGTGAGACGGCAGCCGGAAGCCCCAGCTGTGTTCTCCGGAAACGCTTGCGTGGCTTCAGGACGTGCCCACCGAGGAGCGGCCCTGCCAGGTGGACGTGGTCCTGCCGGAGTTTTCCACTAAAGGTATTTACAGGCCCCCTCAGTGGGCCATCCAGGGCCCTGGTGAGGGCTCGGCCTCTTGGGTGCCGGCGGGTCGCCGGGAGCCCGTTCCCAGTGCGGTGAGGAGAAATGAGCAGGCTGCACACTCGTCTTTAATTCACTTTTAATAGTAGAAACCTCATGTAGGTAGTAGTAGTAAGCCACAACAATAATGCCACATGAAACAGCATTTAATAAAATGCATAAAGCTAATTCATGCACTGCAATACTCTATATACAAACACAACAATGCAAATTCTTCAAGACTGAAGACACTGATTAGATATAAAATTCAGTTTAAAAAGAACATGCTATTTTTTTTAAATGCCATCACATAAACAAAGCTGATTTTAAGCTACAGCTTTCAGCAGGTTTTAAACCTGGAATTAAAGTATAATGGCATAAACAATATTTTCTATATTGTGAAGGGCAAAGGTTTACAGAAACGGTCCCAAGAAAATCTAACACCCGAGTTTTCCTTTAACAGACATCTTTTAAAAGGGCTGATAATGCAGCTACATTTCAACAGAGGTCCCAACGATAGGTAAAAACTATGGTTTGTACTATGAAAAATGTGCCTCTTCAGTTATAAAACTAGTTGAACACTGGTTTACAAGATAATTGGGAGAACGGAGAGGCTGTAGAAAAATAGTCCAGCACTTGAGTTGTATGTGGCAGCAGCATTTGAGTCCATGAATGCTCTGGTCGTTAAAATAATTGATTATACTCTTCTAAAGAAAAGCCTTTGTTAAATGTAAAGTCTACTCACTATTTCCAAATGTTATTCCAATATTAAGCTTTATCACAGTCGGTCAGTTGACACATGTGGGTGAGCGTCTGTTCCAGCATGTTTCTATGTTGTATCTACAGTGACACGCCAGAGTGACTGGCTGAACTGAAATTACAGCTGGGCGGTAAAAAATCTGACATTCCCCACCCTGCCCTCAGGATAAATATCTTTAAGCTCCCAGTTTAATTATTCTTCGATTGCTGTAAGGTAACTAGCCCCAAAGAGAAATTGTATTTTAAAGATCCATTTAGAGACTGTCAAGCTTCCACTGGTATTTTAACTGGCAAAACTCCCTCCAGACAGCGTGATTGTCACGACAGGCGGGGGTGGGGGGGGGGTGCGGGGGGGTCGCACAATCACTGGTGGACAAGGCCAGTGACGTAGCAGGAGCTTTCGGGGAAGCTGACGGCGAAATGCCCCACGTCTCACAAAAGGCACTGAGTACTATGGTCTCAATGAAGCGTCTTCAGACATTTCAACAGCTTATCAAGAACACAAGTGACTGGATGACGTGAGCTGCGCAGCTATCCCGTGGTGCTTTCGCAAGCCGGCTCTCGCCCTCCCCCCAGTCAGGCCCTGCTTACCAGGTCCGTGAGCAACTACTGCTGGGCTGGGCCCTGGCTCCCGAGTGCCGTGTCTCAGTTTAAAGCCCGATTAAAGGGGTAAATTCATCAGAATAGACCTGGACAAGGAAAATTTGGCATCTGTAGCTTTAAGGGCATACATATCTCTTAAAAAGCAATTTTCATCCGAAAATTTTAAATCATAATTTACAGAAAGGAGTTTAGTCTTAGTTAAGTCAGGGGGTTGCATTCACATGCTGTGGTTAGAGAACTGAAGGTCTGTAGCTTATGTGCCGTGAGAGTTAGCCGCCAACATCCGTGCTTGTTCGCGTGACTACTGGCGAGGTGGTTTCCTTCAGCCGGCATCAGAGGTGGCCGACTCTGGCCACAGGGCACCGCACACCCGCTGCTGACCTGGCCGGAGCAGGGGCGGGACGTCACTATCAGGCCGGGAGTCGGGCCTCACCCCTGGGGCCTTCGGGGGCTCCGGTCACGCGGCCTGTAGCTCTGCCTGCCGGGTCCCTTCCAGTTGGGGCACAGGTAGTCTTGAGACAACTAGGGCGGAGATCCCCAGCTAGTTTCCAGCGTTAGGGTAAACTGTCTTCCCGGCCCTCACGCGAACCTAGAGGCTGAGGAGCGGCGCCGCCCTGCCCCCGTAGAGCACGGAGGTTCTGACCGCGTGGCCTTTCCTAGCCAGGCTCCCGCACGGGAAATGGAGTGAAGATCTCGGCAGATCCTCCCCGCTGAGGGACCTTGGGGCGCCCACACCCATTTACTTCAGCAACTCTCTCAGACTCACTCAAACGTGAGGAAAGTTTGGATACGTGGCTACATGTCTGTATACATAATATACACCTATGTACACATGAGCACTATATACACTGTACACTTCCAGGAGGTATAAACACATGTACATTCAGCCAGTCATACGAGCTATACATCTGTACACGCACAGTGCCGCTGAAGGGAGCCCAGGGCTGGACACGCAGACGTGCGCGCTGGCAGGAGGCACACGTGAGTCCACAACCCTGTGTACGAAACACCCAAACCCGCCGTCTCCGTGAGGGTTGGCTTTACCAATTCACATCAACATGAAGACAATTTCAAAGAGCCGCACGCTAGAGAAGGGAAGGGGGGGACAAGGGAGGCGTGTGGGGCCAGCGCTCGGCCCACGCGGTCCTTTCCAGATCTAAAGGGCACCGCCCTTCGGGTTAAAGTGAGCATCAGAAGAAGCCACTTTCCGTGACCTGGGCTCAGAGAAGAGCCTGACAGGCTGTGTGCAGCCCCACTGCACATAAGGCCTCTCCCCTGAAAGCGGGCAACGAGCTCCCGGCCTCTGATCCGGTCAGGTCCTGGCACCTGGACCCACAGCCCAGAGCTGCCTGTCAGGCAGAGGGCGGGCTGGGAGCAAGACTGCTCTGCTGGAGATTGCCCCAAAGGTGATTTTTTTGCATCCTCCAGCAGAAGCACTAGATCCAGCCAGAGTCCTAGCTCTTGGCTCCCAGCCGTGGCCATCCCCAAAACAAGCAGAACAGCTAAGTACATATGTAGCATGGCCACAGCCCTGTGCCCTAGCGCGCACACGGCCGCTGTGTCAATGAGCCTCGGGGCAGACATGTCCATCCTGTGTTGCGTAGCTGGTGGCAAGTACCTCAGAACAGAGACCACACCGATGCTGACACGATGCCAAGCCAGAGAACACATCTCTAGCGTGCTCGAGGGCAGTTGCATGACACGTCTTAAAACAAGTGACTACGTCTGAAGTTAAATACAAAATCCCAACAACAAAAGGCCTCATGGCAGAGGTGAAACAATAAATAATGTAAGCCCCCAACACCCCCTCCCCCATACACACAAACCCCTCCAATGAGAAGGACGCTATATTCCTTAAAAATACCTTCGAGGAATAACTTGAAAAGTAGTATTTGCTTGAGTAATTTGGTCTTTTTCTAAGTGTCTTCCTGTCCTGTTCATGAATACATGTAATGGTTTTTACAAACGGCAACACGTAACTGTCCATCATCCGAGCCTCCCCGGGAGCGCGCCCACTTCATCAGCAAGGGTCGGTCCCCACGGCCCTCGGCCAGCACGCCGGCCTCACCGAGGGAGGAGGGGCTCTGCCAGCAGAAGGGGGCCTTGTCACCCGGTTGCGTGGCAAAGAATCCTGCTCCTGGCTTGCTTCACTCAGGGGTTCAGTGGGCAGAGGTCTGGTCCGACTCCCCCAAATCTAGTTTCACAAAGAGTTGTGAAAATTGAACATACCTATTTGGTTGGGATCCCTTAAAGTAATTCTTGGCTTTAGACTTTCTGAGCCAATGTAATGCGAGATGGGCTGGGCGTGCCGTCAAAGGCTTGACATCTTTTGGGACATCGCGAGTTCAGGTTGTGCGGACATGATCCTTCAGGAAAGGTCACTTCAGATTAAGGCCACTGGGGAACGGATGAGGAGTGTTCAGAACCCAAGATGGTTCGCTGTCAAGGAGCGGGACCAGGTCAGAACCACCAACTTCCCAAGCTAAACCCATCTTTCCCCAGGGCTGTCTTGCCGGAGGGCGGCACTCACTGTCTTCCTGCCAGTTACCAACCTCTATTCCAGCACCCCCAGACAGCATGTCGTCAGCACCTCTGTGTGGGTCTTGGTTAAGCTGCCCCAGTATTTTAAGGCAACTTGAGGCAAAGCCTGGTGGACCCAGGAGTCCAGTCCAGGGAACAAGGGGAGCTGCCTGGCGTGGGCCTTTTCACCGACTCGGATTAACTCTGATGCAAGAGATGTGGCAACGGGCACTCCCGGGGGACACTGCTGTGCAACAGGCGCACATTCACCTGCGCGAGGACAGAGAAGTAGGCTGTTTAAGACGCGCGCGCTTCGGAACACACTCGGCTACAGTCCTTCACAAGCAGAAATGAAGCTCCACTGTCTTGGCCAGTTTTGTCTTAATTTTTAAATCTGAATCACTTCAAAAGTTAGAAACCCCAAAATTCGAGCTGGTAAAATTAAATCCTTTCCATCATTTTATAACAGGCATCCCTAGTCTCTAAAACTTGCCCAAAGCACAAGCTATAATTAAATCCAAGTGAGTTTTCATAAAGTGCTACTACCATGTACTTCAGAAGCATCCAGTTTTGCCATGAGCCCATGGCTGGCTGCCTGGCAACCCCACACAGCAGGAGTGCCACCCACCTTGGGCCCTTTAAGGGCCCAAGCCAGACTAGGGTGTGCCTGCCAGGCAGAGGAGTGCATGGCCATCCTTCTGGAGAGCATCTGAGCAAAAGGTTCAAGACAGCGGGAGCCCAGCCTTGCACGTGGTCAGTCTGGGCTCGCCAAAAAGAAAGCACCAGGTACCTGACCTGGTTCTGGACACGCCACTTTCCCCACACAGGAGTGCTTGCTGAGACGCGGGGGAACGTCCGGGTGCGCTACCCTAGATATAAACCTCCTTGTAACCGTGTCCTGTTCTTGCCAGCAGTCTGACAGACGAGAAGGAAGGAAGCGTGGGAATTCCAGCAGCTGGCGGCCTGCTTCCCCATTTTCTAAAACGCTCCCGGAGCGGCTCTCTGCTGCATACTGCCTCGCAGTTGGGGGCCTGCCACTGTCATCAGAACACTCGCCGACAGAGATGCCGAGTCTGGAGATGGTGTGAACAACCCTGACATTTAAGGTCCACAGAGAAACTTTCCATTCAGCTTCACCAGGCCCTGTGCACCCCGACCCCCCGTTGGGTCTGACTGAACTGCTGGCTGACACAGCCCTTCTCAAGGGGACGCTGGGAATGGAAACCAGGAAAGGAACCGGCACACTATCTGAACATGCAACCCCCCAGATCCTGTTCCTGGGAGTCCTGTCAAAGAGTTCAAAATGCCCACCCTGCACTTTTTGGTCAGAAGGCTCATCTCCCATAAATGGTGGAGGTGATTTGGGATATTCTCAGTTGCTGCAGGAATTGACAGTTAATGCCTGACTGGCTGCAATCCAGTTCTGCGAACCAGTGACCGGAAGAGAGCCCCAGGTTTGGAGGTGCCTATCGATGCCTGTTACAGACCAGAACCAGAAGTCAGGGAGCCCAACAAACAGCAGCGCTCAGGCTGTGACTTCTGTCTGTGCCCCGCTGACTGTGCTACCACACCCCCACTTACTGCATGACACACACAGATAAGCCACATTTTCGTTCACAGGAATCCAGCCCAACACCACCAATATGTGCATCAAATGAGGAATGATCCCTTCTTCAACACAAATGATTGTCTCCTGTACCCTACTGCGTTTTCATGGAAATCATCAGCATTTCAGCAAGACATGTATAGTTTCCATTTGCCCTGCCCACAGGCAAGATGTTGCTAACATCATCCGTTGATAAGAAGTGCTCAGAAAGTGCCTATATTATTACCCTGGTAATTAGTAGCTATTAATTCCAAGGACATTTTTAATATATATACACACATACTGTTCTCTTAGGTTCTTTTTAGTTTTCTTTAATACTAGTCTCTGACATTATAAAACTTTGTTTTTGTTTTTTGCCCTTTGAGAATTTCTAAATACAAATTGAATTAAAAGATTGTTCCAAAATCGGCTTCATCAAAAGGCATTAAAACATTTCTTATGGCAGGAAAGGATCCTACTAGTCTTTTAGTTGCAATTGTCTGGGATTCACAAGAAACAAGGTAGGCGATGGCTAACAGATTGGGAATATTTGCACATACCAAACACCACTAGTCAGTCTCTGTGTCTGAGCGGTCCCGGCGTCCTCGGCTCCCCGCGGGCGGGCGGCGTGCGCTATAGGCTGGCTCCGGTGATCTGACCGTTGTACTCCGCCGTCTCCATCTTGAGGATGTAGGGGATTATGCTGTCTATCGAAACATTGCCAATGAGACCGGTGAAAAAGAGTTCCTCGGTTATGTTGGAGCTCATCAGCCTGAGGGCCGGCAGGCGGACGAGAATCCGGGCCAATCTGGAAGAGGGAGGGGCGTTAGAGAAAAGGGGGGTCCCCGCCCTCCGGAATGGGCCCTGCGCCGGGCGGGGGCCCCCCGCTGCACTGCCCGGAAGCGAACAAACATCTCCCTTCTGCCCTGTTTTCCTCCTCTCACGGGAGTTTATCCTGAGAACAACGAGCGCGTCCCACGCGGTACTAACAGGCAGCTTCCCGTCACTGTTCACCGCAGCTCCCGCTCTGGCGGCTGCCCCGCCGTGACAAATACTACAAACTACAGTAGCCAAAGAGAGGCAGCCTTGAAACCAGTTTCTGCGGGAGCAGCTCACTCGGTACAGCCCACTCACTCCTTCAGAGGGGTCGATGTAGCTGCGGGAAGGGAAACCTGCGCGCGCTGCCACGCCTCTTCGGCGGGGGCTGGCCAGGCGGGCGCAGCGAACAGCTTCTCTGGACGAGGGCGGTCTGGCGAGGACTCTGGCCTCGTGCACCGTGTCGGGAGCACTGACGCCCACCCCTCCAAATGAGGGGAGCGGCCTGAAGTCTATCCAGTCGCCCAGCGACACGAAAGGCCTGCCGTCCCCGCCCTCTCTGTTGGCAGAGCGTGAGCCTGACATGGCTTGCATTTGTAACCGTGGATCCGGCCACATTGTTTCCTGCCCCGAAGAGCAGGTGCCCGAGAGTCTCACCGGTAGGTGTCTTCCGAGTAGGTTTTCTGAACATAGTCCTGCAACTCCATCTGTGCCTTTTCTTGGAATTTTTCAATTTGGCTTGTGCTGGTCAAACCTGGATGATCTGAAAAGACAAAGCCCCCAGATTGCCCTCTGCATTCCAAAGCCTCAGTTACAGGCTTCTTAGCACTTACTTTTTAGTCAAATGTCTGACATCGCTCAAGTACAACAGACTGAACTCTGACGCTGATCTAGTTGGGGCATTATTGCTAGGACACTGGTTCTTCCTTTGCGCTCTGGCCAAGGTCTGAAGGTTCCCAAGAGGGGGCTGGGCTCCTGCGTGGTCACACCAGCCTCAGCAGCCCGGCTGGGGCTGATCTGGACATTTGGTTTCCTGTTACTCTACAGAACACATAGATTTTAAAACTGAAATTAGAAATTACTTTCTACATAGATAATCCCATAATTTACCCCATTTTGAGTAGCTATTTTCATGTTTATGGGTAGAAAGCTGGGGAGGGAGCGGTTAAGCTGTGTCCAACCTCAGCTGTCAAGGACAGTGGTCAACCTAGTTGTTTCATTCCACGCAGAGTCCTGCCGCTTCTGCCCTACAGACACCGCGGGGGGACGTGTGCTTCTCGGGCTGCACATGCTGCCTGCTGACCTCACGCGCAAGTTCACAAAGGGCAGAGCAAACAAAGAGGACCCTGTATAATCTTGAGATTGCATATGCCAGTCTTGTTTGGCCAAAGATCCAATTAGCATACACACTAAGTCCATTCAGTACATTAAGGTGCTAGGCATTACGGCATTTCACACGGAGACTGTACAGGCAAGAATTTAAAAGAACATGTGTACGTGTGTATTTTCTGTGGGCCTGCTAAGCACTCCCATGAAGAGAACACTTAGTCGCACACAATCTGGGTAGGTGCTCTCTACCACTGACAGCTTGACATGTTCATTTCAGAAGTATCAGTAGGCACAGGTGGAAAACTGTCATGAGTCACCACCGCATATCTTACCGGGGCTAAAGAGAACTATAGCTTTAAGGTATGCATACTCATAGCCGTCTATATCCAGCTTCGCCATACTGTTACAGAACTCCTGAAGCTTCCAGATGTGCTCCATGACTTGCTTTATCCGGTCACCGGAGAGTTTATCTAGAAATCAACATCACAGATACTCAGCAAGGGTGACAAGAACAGGAAAATGAGCTGCTCTGAAGGGCCATAGGTGGAAAGAAGCGAGAATAATTTCACTTTTTAATGAAGAAACCAGTTATCTCGAGATGGTCAAGAGCTTCATTTTCCAGTTGAAGGAAAGTGACAGTAGGTATCAAATTCCGTTGTACTTTCTCCCTCAGTAGCAAACCTCTAGACCAGGGATTCTTCCTGGCCCCACTGGGCAACACCTTGGCCTGCAGGTGCAAATTAGTAGTCCTTTTTTCCTTCTGTTCTTAATGTGAACTGACAGATGAGTCTTAATGGTTGGGTTTTCTAAGTCTCTACAGATATTTAAATAAATATTTGCTGACCTGAACATTAAAATGCTGGCATCTTTTAGTTGTCAGAACATTTTTCATTTATGTTACTGTGTTTAATCATCATGACAATATTTTACTGACGCTATTACACTTGCTTAAAAATAAAGTTAAGGACCTCCCTGGTGGCGCAAGGGTTTAAGCACAGCCCTATGAAGCTATCTGCAGCCTCTGCAGCACAAGTTTGATCCCCGGCCAGCCAGGGAGCAACCCCCATGGTGCAGCAGACCTCTCGTGTCTCGCCCGCTGCTCCCCTCAGCAGTGTACTTCGGTCAATCTGCCTGTTCTGTTCCCCACTCTGTCTCTGGTGAGTTCTCTCACCCCCCGCATCTCTGCCCTGTACCCCAGCTCTTGTATGCGTAAATAAACAAACCTTAAAAAAAAAGTTAAAATTTGTGCAAACATAAATTCCATAAAAATAGAGGATTTTAAAAAAGTCAACTTTTGGGCCTCCCCGGTGACACAGCAGTTGAGCGCTGGGTTGCAAAGCTCCCCACAGCTTCTGCAGCGCTGGTTCCATCCCCAGCCACTGGGTGAGGGTCCCACATGGCGCGCAGACCTATCCTGTCACCCATTGCTCCCCTCAGCAGTGTACTTCGGTCCTTCTGCCTGCTCTGCTCCCCGCTCTGGTGAATTCTCTCACCCTCCCGCGCCTCTGACTGTACCCAGTGCTTGTATAAATAAATAAATCTTTAAAAAAAAAAAATAAAAGAGTCAACTTTCTATAACTATACCAAAGAAATGAGAAAAAACAAAGGTCTGTGACTAGGTAACTCATACTCCCAGATACCGACCACCAGGAAGGTCCAGTTAACAGCACAGCTTGATTTCACTGCGGCTACTCAGTGGGCGGTTAGTCTCTGCTCCCAGGCGGGCTCCCCTGGACGGTGTCTGCAGTGCGCGCGCAGCACGCGGCGGGACACAGGCCATCTACTCCTGACACGGCCTGGATTTGACCACCCAATGTTAGAGGCTGTCAAAGATCTTACCAGAAGAGAGTAACTCGTTCCTTCTCGAAGAGCAGCAGGGTGAGGTGACGGCGTCCTGCACTGAGGAGCTGCACGACGCAGAGTGGCGCCCCAGCTCGCCTACCTGCTCTTTCATTTGGACAAAGCCAGGGGCCTTACCAGGACCTCAGTTTCCCCAATGCATAAGGAAGTTGGCAACTGTTCTCAGTGATCTATTTTCCCCCATAATAGTCACATGAGAAGGTGGAGGTGCCGGCAAGCGGAGTCTGCGGCGTGCTGAAGAGAACTGCCGCGGTCTGCTGCCTGCCCACAGCAGTGGCCATGGCTCCCTTGACCCCTTCCCAGACAGCAAGGAAATCCCATGTTGGGCGGGGTGGCAAAGTCCCACGTACAGTGTATAAAAGCCCCGCCACACTGCTCTTCGGGGCTCGGACTTCTGGAGCTTTGCCATGAGCTTGCCAGTGTGACGAATAAATCCCTCCACCTCTCCGAGTGCCCCCGATTTCTCCGGGAAATTGCCGTAACATTTTGGTTCCCTGACTGGGAAACTAGCCACATTGGCCATTTTGGCCACGGGTCTGGCGTGGGGGCGGTGCCCAGCGCTTCTCCCTTGAGTGAACGAGGCGGCGCGCCACCTGCGCCTCGTCGGGTCCCCCTTCCCGAGGTGAGCAGAGCTGGGACGCCACCTTCACGCCCTCCCCAGACTCGTCGAGAGAGGCGGAAAGACAGACTCAGGAGGACTTCTGGATAAGGTAAGCCCCCAGGGCCCTGGTTCCAGCCTGTCCCAGTGGATGAAACGAGAGACCGGTCACCTCCACACGCCCCCTCGGGGGGCCAGGCAGGGTTTCCTGCTGGGTGAAATGCACTGTGCGCGTGCGCGTAACAATCCCACGACTTGGGTTATGGGATCTGACTGTGGCCTCGGGCTTGCTCTGTGGCGTGACGTCAGGCGTGTGGGTGACCCCGTCCAGGCTCTGGCCCGGGACTGAATGGGGGCGCGCCTTCGCCCCAGGTATAGGCCAGACAAGAACGTGATTGCTCCCTTCCCTTTTGTCGCGGCAGCAAAAAGGGGGCGCTCAGAGTAAACCCACAGTCCTCGACAACATGGTCATAAATTTTAAAAAGGGGTTCCACAAAGATCACGAAGAAGCGTCAGACCCTGTGCTAGGTAGAATGGCCTAGTTTCCAGGTAAAACGGCCTCCAGAAGAAACTCTGTGACATCCCCCCAGTCTGGGCGGTGTGGGAAGTTGTGACAGGCCCCCCCAGGCCACCCTCATCAGTTTCCTTGCACTGATGCGTGGTCGACGGTCACTCAGACCCGACCCGCTTGTGTCCACACTTGTGGTTTAGGGCAGGGAGCGAGTCAGGTCCTTGCGCGTGGCCACCGCAGCTCTCGGCCACCACCACCTCCACCCATTCATCAGAATGACTCCCCCAAAGATGAACTGCCGCTACCTCATCACCGCGCCGGCCCGCCGGCCCATCGCTCCCCGGGCCTAAAGCCCCTCCGCCCTTTGGCTTTCTTACCTTCTCCGGCATCCACTCCGGCCTTGCCACCTCCACCTCCTAAGCCCATGTCTCCAGTCGCCCAAAGACTGTTTGGCCCAGGACCTGTCCCCACAGCTTCCTCCCCAAGAGACCCGAGGGCCCCCCGCCATTGCCGATGACAGCGCTGTTCAGACGGACGCGCCGGCTCTCTATTACCAACATTTTCCCGCGGCGATCTCTCAAACATCACACTCCGGCCTATTCAGAAGAGCTGCCGGCTCTCACAGACCTCTGCGTCCATCTGTCAGACTCATCGCCCGACGGGGGAAGACTCGCCAGCTCGTCCTCACCCTTTCCAACACGGACGAACGCTGGCGCGTACTCAGAAGCCAGGTGCCGGCTGGTCCCCTCGATCCTGATAGGGGGCCCGCCCGAGCGGCCCCGACACTCCCCCAGAGACTGCCACACCGAGGACAGCAGAGTGGCAGAGCCGCGCTCAGCCGGTATCCACAGGTTCTCGTAACAGACATTCAGGCAGGGGCCAAAAAAGCCAATCAGCATGTCTAAAACCGCTGCTGTCGCTCAAAAACCCGGCGAGTCCCTGGACAATTTCTACGGCCGCTTGTGTAAGACCTGCCACATCTACACATCCTTAAATCCAGAGTCACCAGATAACCAACCAATGGTCAACGCGGCCTTCGTGGCTCAAGCTGCACCTGACCTCTGCGCAAGCTCCGGAAGCCAGAGCAACCTGCCGGCACAAACACCGCTCAACCACCGGAGGCAGCCGATAAACCCTCGGTCCACTGGGACTGTGGGACCCACCGTAAAACAGACCAGCACGTTAAAAAAAAGTCTCTCAGCTGCAGTCTCAGGTCACACTATGACTTAGAAGTCAAACTCCCTTGCAGCCTGTGGCTGCTGTGGGACCAGAGGTGCCGCTGTGCCGCCCCCCTGACCCCCCTCCCCCAAATCGCCAGTCCTACCTTCCTGGATGCTGTTCTGCAGGTGGTTGACAATGGCCGCCAGGATGGTAGAGAGACTCATGACCTGGGCACACTGGGCCAGGCCAAGGGTGAAGAGTTCATTCCAGCAGGCCCGCACCAGGCTGGTGTTGCAGTCCTGCCTAGGGACAAAGAGACAAGGGTGTTGGCACTTAGCTCTGAGTCCCCGCATACCCCAAATAAGTGAGGTCAGTTAAGTGTTTGTTAAAGGTCTGTGGTATGTCCAGGGCTGTTCTTGAAGAATGCTTTAAAGTGCCTCTGAGGATAAACTAGTCTCTTAAAGAAGATTCTTTAGACTTAAGTAATGAGAGGTTTAACAGGTATGACTGTCATTTAAAAAAAAAAGATTTATTGGGGCTCCCTGGTGGTGCAAGGGGTTAAGACACAACCTGTGAAGCCATCCGCAGCCACTGCAGCATGAGTTCGATCCCCAGCCAGCCAGGGAGCAACCCATATGGCGCAGCAGACCTCTCCTGTCTCGCCCGCTGCTCCCCTCAGCAGTGTACTTCGGTCAACCTGCCTGCTCTGCTCCCCACTCTCTCTGGTGAATCCTCTCACCCCCCGCATCTCTGGCCTGTACCCCAGCTCTTGGATGCATAAATCAATAAATCTTTAAAAAAAATAAAAAGTATAAAAAGATTTATTGATTTATGCATACAAGAACTAGGGTATAAACCAGAGGTGCGGGGCTGGGGGTGGTGGTGGTGAAAGGATTCACCAGAGACAGAGTGGGGAGCAGAAGAGGCGGAGCCATTGAAACACACTGCTGAAGGGAGCAGCAGGTGCGACAGGAGAGGTCTGCTGTGTCGTGTAGATTAGCTCCCTGGCCGAGGATCGAACTCGGGCGGTAGCAGCGATAGCCTCAGTGGCCGGTGACAGCTTGATAGCCCCGAGACTTTAACCTCTGCACCACCACGGAAGCCCTGATTGTCATTTTCTGATCTTCTAAAATGGCAGCAGTCCTGGCACGGCTCTGTCGTGAGAGGCTACAGTGATCAAAGGACTGAAAGCTAGTATGGACTGGCGAGGAGAGGTGCCCTACACCTCTGCTTGGGAGTGGGGCCTGTGAACCCCAAGGGAGGAATAAGGACTGCAGCGGGAGGACGGGGCCAGTCAAGTGTGTCTCCAGCCGCGCCCCTGGGATGTCTGCTCAGGACAGCCTGCTGGGTGCGCTGCAAATCGTCTGGTTCTTCTCCTCAAATGCAGACACACTTCTCCGCTGCAACTACTCCTCTGCTTGAATCCAGGATGACTCCGGGCTTCAGCCCCAAGTCCTTGATGTGGAGCAGCTTGACACGCATTTGAGGAACACCACAGCACCCACGGGCCTCACTGCCAGTCCACTGACTGTGTTTAATAAATCGGGTCACTTGAACAAGGTCAGAGGAACAAATTGGAAGGGCCCTCAGAGATCTTTCCAGGCCATTCCTAGAGAAGGGGAAGGTCACTGTCCAGGGCTACACCAGCGACAAAGGCCACTTACCCCAGCGCCTGAAAGGCCGGGATTGATCTGGCCCAGTGCATGGAGAGGAAGAGGAGGCGGGACGCAGACTCGCAGATGTAGTGCACGTTGAGGTATTCTGGCATGGGGCTGGGCATCGTGAGCTGGAAAGGAGGCACACAAAATAGGTGACCAGGGACAGAGGATGACTGACATCACGAGTCCCTCCACATGCCAACACCCACGGCAGAGTCACCGACACTGAAGCTCCTGGGTGGACCATCCTCAGGTACGGTGTCCTCTGCACCAGGGGACCGGCACTAACTCCCTGTGCTTTTCTGCCCAGTGGACTAGAGTCTGAAGGCCGTGGGCACATGGACAGCGGTGGGGCCTTCCCAGCTCACTCACCCAGAGACGTACTTTACAATTCTTGCCTCAATGAAACTGTTATCAGGGAATTCCGCTTTGAGTCATAGGTTCAAGTCTAAAACTGGGGAGCAGCGGTCAACCTGGCGGCTAGCGGGTACCTGGCAGGTGGCCTCAAGATTAACAGCAGATGAGAACTGAGCAGAAACCCGCAAGGGAGGGACGACGCGCCACCAGGTCAGCCTGGCTGCAGGGGCACTGTGGTCTAGAAGGGGCTCTACATGCCTCTGAAGCTGGAACTGCACGGGTGACCTGTGTCCAGAGCACACTCGGGCACACGGGCAGGAGTACCATCTTCCTAGCAGAGGGTACTGGGGGGAAAGGAGACTCAGGTTGAGAGGGGTTCAGGGAACCCCGGAGCGTCCTGCAGAAGTGAGGACAGGGGAGGAGCGCACAGAAGCCCAGAACTCCTCGAGGCTACCGGAGACCTATTTCTGAGGCCCTGGAGGGCAAGGATCAGCGGCAGTGGTGGTGAACAAGGGCTGGCTTCCCGCAGGATGGGGCCAAGGTGGATGCACGCGCCTGCGCTGGAGCCGGGCCATCGGCAGAGCAGTCAGCTACCAGCCCTCACTGGTCATACCATGTCAGCCCCTCTTGGCAATGACTGGCCACACTGCCCCAGGGTTACGTTCAAAGCCAAACTGCACTGTGAACAAAACATGAGGGAAGAGGCTTCTCAGTGGAAACAGAAGAGCCTCCTCAGATGCCACAAACAGAAACGAGCTCACTGCCAGGTCTGACTTTTCACCTGCAGAGCCATGCCAGCTGCGGGGGCACATGCTCGGGCTGAACACGCTCACCTTAAACGTAACGTGAGTGTCTGAGAGGAGAGGGCCTTCCACCTCAATGATGGGGGTGGACTGGTCTCTGCTGATGACGTGGATGCTCCCTCCTCCACTCGTGTCTATCCCATCCGCCAGGCCTGGAGGCGACGAGCTGTCTGTGGTGTTAAGTGCTTTAGCTAACGTATCAAAGGCCCTGTGAGCAAAAATGAAATGAGCCAGTGGTGTGATTCCGTAGCTCTTAGGGGGACTAGAGCTCGAGGTGAGACGTGAGACGTCATTTAGAGGAGCAATGCCCGGGGCAAAAAGCTCATTGATCTCTGTCTGCTAAGGGAAGGATAACGAGGAAGGCATCGATACATATTGTCTGTATCATCTTGGGCAGTAAACTCGGTATTTATTTTAAAATTTTTATTGGAATAATTGCGCTATAACATGAGATTCCGGTGTGCGCCACTGAACGTCAGTGTGCAGCTGTCCGTTAAGCTGACCACTAAACGTTCGAACCTATCCTTTGACATACAGTTGTCCTGGCTTTTGTATTATTTTCAGAGGTAGGTTCCATTTTTCAGACTATTCTCTGACGCGGAAATTCCACTTCAGACAGAAAAGCTGAGGGTCAGAGATGTTAGGTAACGTTTCCAAGATCACCCGCCCAGGAAGTGGTGGAACTAGAATTCTTCAGCTCGAGTGCCAGCCGCGCTCCCCCAGATCTGCACCTTCACTTGCTATCAGGGTACACGCAGACTCAGGACCGGCGCCCTGTGTGGGGGCCCCAGCTGTGCTGCTGTCTGGATGGGCAGGAGTGGCCACTCCTGTGGGAAATGAGGGGCCCCCTTGGCGGGCAGTTGTAGCCACCTGGGCCAGCGAATGCTGTCTGTCCGCCAGTGTCCGCCTACTGCGGCGAGCCGGAGCGCTGGCCTCCCACCTGAGCTACAGACCGACGCGGGAGCGGGAGGGAGACGGACCGTCCACATCAGACACAAGCAGCGGCTGAGGCCTAACCCCGTCCACGGCAGGGTCTCCCCGCTCCCGAGTTACTCAATTTGCTTTTCATTTTCGTAGCGAATGGCTGTCCATCGTATTATATCAAAAAAGAAGGGGGCCCATGTCCCCCCAGTTACAGTCTGAAAGGAGACAGCTACACGGGCTGGGGGACAATCTCACGTCCGTAATGAGACGCGGGCGGGGGTCCAGAGGCCGCCCCGCCCTCCCGGGTTCTTACCGAGTGATCTCGCTGGCAGACTGGTCCTCCGGTTGCATTTCGGAAGCATCGCCATTGTTGAGGGATTCGCTCAGGTTGGCAAGAGAGGTTACCACATTTGCCAGCGTGCCCAGGGCTCCCTGGCTCGTTTCAGCCTGTCAAACAAACCACGGCATTAACGGACACGAGCGGGCGGCTGAGCAGCTCCGCGGAGGGCCACGGAAGGGCGGCGCGGCGCGGCGAGCCGGGCTCCGGACGGGACGGTTCCGCGCCCTGACTGAGGGGGTGATCGCCCACGCTCGCGGGTGCCGGAATGACAGAGCAAAACTTAAGTCGGACTTCACCGGAAGACATCATGGGGCAAAGAGACAACTCCCCCCCGCAACAATCCACAGAGCGGGAGAAATAGTCGCAAGTCCCATCTGCTGCTGGTTTAGGAGTCCAAATACAGAACCCCGACACCTCCGCGATATAAAGACCCAATTTAAAAAACAGGCAAGGACTTTAAAAGAGGCATTTCTTCAAAGATCAGATAAAAACAAATACATGAAAAGATGCTCAAAATCACTGGAAATGCACATCAAAACCCCAACGGGATGCCACCCCCAGCCGGCCCCGCGGGGCCGAGCAGAACAGGGGACACGGGGCGGCAGGGAGGTGAGCGCCGGGACCCTCACACAGGCCGGGCGGGCGGGTAACCCGGGTGCGGCCACAGCCCGGCAGTTCCTCAAAAGTCTCAAGAGTTACCACGTGACTAGCGACTCCAGCCCGAGATGTCCACAGGGGAAACTGAAACAGGCCCCCAGCACCACGCGCGTGCAAGTGAGCTCTGGCATCACGAACAGCCAGAAGAAGAAACCCCCCAGATGCCCACTGGCTGAGAAGGAGAGGAACGAGATGTGGCACCGCCACTCACGGGCACTACAAAGGGATGAAGTTCCCACACTCCCTACCACCTCGGGGAGCCCCGAGAACGAGCCGGGAGACGGGGCTCCGCCTCCGAGGTCGCACGTTCACCCTCTTCATGGAAAATGTCCAGAACTGACAGAACCACGGTCAGAAAGCAGCGGAGTGGTGGGCAGGGTTGGGAGTGTGCCGGTGGGAGGGCAAGCGACTGCCTCATGCTTTCAGGGTTGCGTTTAGGGGGATGAAAATGTCCTGGAATGAGACAGAGGAGGCTGCACAGCCGCGCGAACACGGAAGGCCTCACGCCCGCCCGCGGAAAGGGCGCATGTCAAGGCACGCGGCTACCTCAACGGCCAAAAAACACAAACCCCCAAAGATACACTTAAATACACGGAGACACAAACATCTCGTCTCAGGAACTGAAGTGGAAAACTAGCATCGGCAGGAGAGATCGTGAAGGAAAGGAACAAATCGGAGCCACCGTGTGGGAAGAGAACGCGGCGCGGCCAGGAGGAGGCCGGCGCACACAGGAAGGTGCTGACAGGGGCTAAGCGACAAGAACAGACCCAGGCGCGGGCAGGATGCATGTCCTTGCAGCTGCTGCACCCCAGCTCTCCAGGCGGGGACCACGGAGAGAACCGGGGAAGGGCGCTTGGGCTGTCGTTTTCCTGTATTTATTCAAAGTTAGTTATTTGGAGTGTTATTTCAAAGTAAAACGCTTAAAACACGTCTTTTGACAGAGCTCTCCAGGTGCTCTGCGTATGCTCTATGCATCATGACAAACTCGGTGGGTGTTTGTCCCCCACTCCAGAGGCGAGGACGCGGCAGGACGCAGTTCTCTCCGTAACCATCACACACCGCAGACTTCGAGCTCCTTCTCCCCTACCCGGGGACACAAACCGCTGCTGACGGCTCACTCCGGCGGAGGGCGCGCTGCATGCCCCCACTCGAGCTTCGGCACCCGTGTGTGCGGGGTACCGCAGAGGGCACGGGCTCCAGCTCCGGCTGCCTCTTAGCCTTGATGCTGCTGTCACGGCGTGGCCAGCACGCTGACAGTGGCTGTGCAGTCCCTGGCAATCAGATTATTTGGGCCTGACTTCTAGATTTATAGCCTCTTCATGGCACTACAAAGTCACCGTCTCGAACATCTGCTGGGTGACAGCAGCAACCCAGGCGTGATCCCCACGCCATACATGTCACTGCTGCCCAGAGACAGGAAGCTCAAAGTCCAGCCTGAGGACCAATGCGTGGCCAGCTATCACCTTTGCCTTTCCCTTCCCCCAAGAGGATGTTCCTTAATGCACTGTGTGCACCGAGGTGCTGAGAGCAGAGAAGGAACCTGCAGGCTGAGCCCTGGCTTGAAGGGCCGCAGCCATGCCAGTGCGGCCACTGAGTTGCTCCTTTCAGAGGAGAAAAATGGGACCTGAGTTGTGGGTTCACCATCGCTTGGATTTCATCAGAACGCGATGAGGAAAGCAACGGATGACCCGCCTGGATAAAGCCCTCTTCGGTTACCTTCACACGGGTTAGCCAGCTTGCGCGCTCTCCGGCTCTCAAACATCTCTGTCCACAAGTTAAATTTCCCTGTGGCTGATGTGCTTTAGTAAAGTCTTAGAATTGCTAGAAATCTCAGCTGAACTTCCTCCTGAATCAAATAAAAAGGAACCGGGGCTTCCTACGGACGGCCACCTGAGGAAAGCTGCTATTCCCTCAGCTGGCCAGTAGTTTGCCAGTATGTGTCCAGGGGAAAAGCTGAATGGAGAAGAATCACAGACATTTTATCAAACTCTATCCCGGACCCTGACATGTTATAATGACGGTCACCAGCCAGCCCTGACTGAAAAGCCATTGCCCCCCATCCCCCCAAAACCGCAGGAGAGCTGTGGCACAAGTAGTAGTAAAATAAGATGCAGAAGACCATGCTCTCAGCGTGGTCTCTGAAGCCGAGAAGGCAGGTGCCCGTGGGCAGCCCAAAGCATCAGGGAGGAGGGGAGGGCGCACAGAACTTCACCTTGGAATCCGTGGCCAGGAGAACTGTACCATCCTCACGTATCAAAGGCTGCTGGATGTTCACAAGCATCCCTGGATCGAGAAGACCTGTTTGTCTACGTAAGACATAAAGAAACCCAGAGTGGCTTCCAACAGTCTGTGCGGTGTGACCAACCTGCACTCACCTGCCCACCTGCCCCCACTCCATACGGGAACCGCCTGGATGGCAGGAAGGCTCTCACTAGCCCGTCACTAGGTAACTGAACACCCCCTCCCCCCACGGCAGGAGGTGCGCACTGGTTCTCCATCCCTAGGGGATGATCTACAGAAACCTATCCCCTGGGCTCCCACATGGACTGCAGACTACGGCTGCTCTGCCAAATAAAGTTGACTTAACCTTCAGAATGTCACCAAGGCAACTCCAGGTCCCTCTATTCTACATGCTGGCTTTAGTTTTCCCTCTTTCTGTTCTGTTCTAAGTGCAATATAACACGTTAAAAAGAATGTGACACTACCTGGGAACACACCTGGGATTTAGGCCTTCAGCAAAAAAGCCTGAATCTTGAATTACGACACTGGCCTGCCGTGTGAGCAATGCCTGAGTGACAGGACATGGCCTGAGCCCTTCAGGCAGGAGACATTCCGAGCCCACCTTAAGTTAGCCACCTCGGGCCCGTCCTGAGGGACAGAAACAGCTCCAGGAGCGAGATGAGCAAGACCAGGTGCAGGGCAGTGGCAGGTGGAGCCCTACTGCCCCGGTCCCCAAGGAAGCTCCAGGCCTCCTCCCTCAGTGTCAAAGGCTGACTGCAGTGCTGGCCTCTGTCAGAATAGGGACTGACCTTGTTCCATCTTTATCTGCCACAAATGTGGGAGTGGCGATCAGAGGCGATCTCAGGTCCTTCCGGATATAGATTTTCTCAGTTGAAGCAGCACAGTTGCTTGGTTTCTCCCTTTGCACATCAAAAGGCTTCCGTTCACTCTGCACAGCTTGAATCACAACATAAGTATTCACGTTAGAGGAAAGATTCAAATCAATAAAAGCCACCTCCTCAGGCTGAAGAAAAGGGTCTCCTTTAGTGATGAAAAGCCCCGGGCTAGGTATTTCCAGCTCAATTTTTGTCATGGACGTTTCAACCAAAGGAGAGGGAGGCTCAAGTTAAACAATGCCATGTCAAATCTAGGCAAAGAAGTTCAAGATGGAGGGCACTGCCTGCTAAGAAACTTGCATGGTCTATAGGGGCCCACATGGAGCCCTCTGGCTTTTCACTTCTTGCTCTATCAAAAGGGACTCTTCAGGAGAAAATCCATCCTCCTCAAGTGGGCCCCGCCAGAGAGTTCGCCAGAGGCACAGGCTGCGGGAAGGTCCTATGCAAGCCTGCTCGGCTGCTCTGGTGTGACAGCCGTCTGCTCCCTGTGACACGAGCCACTCCCCTCCTTCAGCAGCCGGTGTGAGAACAGGTACATGCCGAAACCAGGCCCATTACTCAAGCGAAGTTGAGAGGTTCCAGTTCACAGGGGAGGCTGAGAGAGGCTACTTCCCTTCATTAGGCCACACAGCCGGGCTGTGGCAAAGGTGGAGCTGAATTAGGAATCAGCTGGGCTTCGTAGTTTGTGTTCACCCCTCTCCATTGCGTTGCCTGATTGTCTGGAGATTTCCACGTACACTGTGGGAACTGACTGGCCCCACCAGTGTCATGGTTGAGGCACCTCGCTGACCAGAGAGTACACCGAATTGGAGCCTGAGTGGATATACTTATTTTATAGTCAGATACAGAAACCTCACTTCCTCCCTCCTTGGTAACTCACGTGGCTTTAAAAGACTCACATTCCATTTTCATGCCCATCTCTAAGCATTTTTTCAGCCGGCAAAACTGACAGCGGTTCCGGTGGTGTTTGTTGATGATGCAGTCTTGGTTGCTCCGGCAGCTGTAGGTCAAATTTTTCCTTACGCTCCTTTTGAAGAAGCCTTTGCAACCTTCGCAACTGACAGCCCCATAGTGACGGCCTGAAAGGAGAAAGAGTACGTGAACCGGTTCACCAAGGGAAGACGTGAGTCACCTGTCACAGGCCCTGCTCCTAAGCGAGTCTGTTGAAGTGACTGGGCCATGGTGACCGACAGCGACAGCCCCGAGACACCGCCCACCTGAGCATAAAGCCCGACACCCAGGGCCTTTGAAGTTTCCTTATAATCTTTACAGTAGCCCCTCCAGGTCATGCTGGATAACCTGAAGCGCAGGCAGGCTACTGATCGTGAACAAAGGCTGCATGCGGGAGGAGCTCCTGGAGGACGGATTAGCTACATTTCACAGTCACTATTTAGAGTGGCTACAGGACATCCCACCGTCCTGAGCCAATGCCCACGTGTTCATTTGGAAGTCTCAATTGTGTGCCTGTAAGAAGAGTGGTGCTAAAATTACCACGCAGACATCACTTTCCTTTCCTTGCAGGGTACTTCCTTGAACTCTACCCTTAAAATGACCCCTAGCATCTGGAGACAATGGCACTGCAAGTCTGTGACTAGGCCTTTCCTTTTTAAGCCCCGAAAACAACTGACAAAAAGGAAAGCCAGGCAGACCTCATGGTCTTGTCATGTCCTGCCTCACCGTTTATCTGCAGTTAATCTCCTTCCCAAGCACAAAGAGGGGATAGAGAGATGATGGGGCCAGACGTGGTTTCTGCTCTAACAAGACGAGCACATTCTGGTGGGGGAAACAAGCCTGTGAAGAACCAGTTACCAGAGAACATCACAAATGCCCAGAGAGCGCTGCATTAAAGGGTGGTGACAACAGGCAGTGCTGGCCCCTGCACACTGGGGCAGGTGAGGGCTTCAGGGAAGGGGTGGGACAGGCTGGGTTACCAGGACAACGGATGGGGCCAAATGGTGTCACAAACTGGGAGGGTAACTGGCTCGTCCCATCTTCTGTAGATGCTTGCCTGGGTCTGTCTTCCTAAGAGGCTTGACGCAGCCTCCTTCATAAACAAAAATAAAAACCAGGATCACAAGGTGTCCAAAGTTGCTATAAATTTTGTGACCACAATATAAAGTAGAACCTAGCAGCCACTACAGCACGCAGGCCTGTGGCCAACTATCAGTGGAACTGCGTCTACACTGAGTAGTTCTCCATTCCTCCCGGCCCCCTGACTTTCCATGACTTCCCGGTGTTAGCAGGCCAAAGTCTGAACTTCTGGGTTAGATTTCTTCTCTAGTCTCCTTGTGCCCTTATCCTAACCATGGGAGCCCAGGAGATTTCCCCAAAGACACCGTGGGTGTGGACGTTACGCACTCTGGCTCCACACCACCCAGGACTGGGGGCCATGTAGGGAATCACACGTAGAGGCTCCAACATGAAGACAAAGAAGGTCTTTCTGGCCTTTCTAGCCCCAGGATGGCAGTATGCGATCTCTAGCCCCAGCAGCTGGAACACCCTTCCCTACATACACGACGTGAACACACTCAATCTGAGAGATGCGACAGCCTCTGGGGACCCTTTCCTGACCCTGGCTTCCGGCCAGAATTCTACGCGCCATGTCCCCTCCCCTTGCATTAAAGCGGCTTGTCAAACTGGGCCACGACGAGGGGCTGAATGAGACAGCTACGGCCAGGAGGAAGGTGGAGGAGAGAAGCAGCACACGCTGTGATGGAACAAAGCACTACGCACGTGTGAACTGGAGTAAAGAAATGACGACTTTCTAAACATTTGACATTCAACCAAGATTTACAAATCAGTCTTGACTTTTCCTTTTGGTTCTAATCATCTGACATACTGGTTTGCTACCTCAGCCAGAAAAGCGGAGTTTAAGTTTTGAAACCCACAGGAAATGTTCTCTCTGCTAAGTGCCCCCTCAGCCCCCCATGTGACTCATGATGCTGGCCCATGACGCGCGTGCAGAAGAACGGAGCTTGCATACCAGAGGCTTTGTCGCCACAGACCACGCAGTACTCTACCACCTGGGGTCGCTGGACGTCGGTCTTCCCCAACAAACGCTCCACAGAAGCAGAGTCCGTGACAATCTAAGAAGCATCAGGAAGCAAGCAGGGTACTGATTAAAAACCAGATCACTAAGCAAAGCAATGTTTAACTGTAAATTCTTAATCTTGGATTTCTAAGTAGAACTCAGGACAGAACTGGGAAAATTCTACCTGACAACATAGCCAGACTCCCAGAATGGCCCTGTTGCTTATCTGGACTGCGGCCCTTTTCATTTTAATTGGGTGGGGGAGGCGTTGTCCAGGGTCAAGCACTGGTCCCTGATCTACTCTCCTCACTGGTCACTACAGCCACCCAGGACTGGGGGCCATGCAGGGAACCACAGAGGCTCCAACATAACATAATAGAGCTGCTTTTCTATCCCCAGGGTGGAAGTCTGTCCCCCGGGTGGAAGTCTGTCCCCCGGGTGGAAGTCTGTCCCCCGGGTGGAAGTCTGTCCCCAGGGTGGAAGTCTGTCCCCAGGGTGGAAGTCTGTCCCCAGGGTGGAAGTCTGTCCCCCGGGTGGAAGTCTATCCTAGGATGGAAGTACGCAGAGAGAAATGTTTGGCAGAGAAACAAGCCAATAACCAGGTTTCTCACTGAGGCAGCTGGTAGCAGAAGAACTAGAAGAGGTGAGACCTCTAAAACCTATTTCTCCTTCAGCTGTGGATGATTTTTCTAGATGACAAACAGTACTTACTCATCTGGAAAGACACTGTGACTGATCCCGATGTGAGAACGTGAAGGACAACTGCTATTATTTGGCCCAACAATAAACCACAAAATGATTATGCAGCGGGGACAAATCACTACGTAGGGTGACCTACATAATCACCGGCCATCCTTTCACAAACAAGGAGCAGTCTACAGGAAGGGAATTCGGCTTCAGATGGCCAGAGTGTACCTGGGCTGGGGGGTCGGGGAAGGGGCAACACTTAACCATATGGTAAGATGTCCCACAGTGCAGTTTTGAAAAATGAATACACTGGGGTTCTGAACCCAGCTCTACCAGGAGAGAAAAAATAATTTACTTCATAAATTTTCTCCATAGTTGAAAGTCACCACCCAACCACCTCTCTCCTTCCCCAGCAAGACAACCAACCAACAACAAAACCACCCCACAAGGATTCCTAGCCACATTATTTGCAGGAGCCAAAAGAGAGAAGCAGCCATCAAAAGCTGGATGGACAAACAAAACATGGCCTACACACACAGGGGAGCAGTCAGCCTTGCAAAAGGAGATCCTGTCACAGGCTACAACACGCACACGCCTCAAAGACCTTATGTTAAGTGAAATAAGGGAGTCATAAAAATACAAATACTATTGCACTGACATGAGGTAGTCAAAAGTGAATGTACTTACTGCCACGGAACTGCACATCTAAAAATGCCTAAGATGGTAAATTTTGCACTGTATTTTACAACAAATTAAAAGAAAAATTAAAAACATGGATTCCATGGTGACCCTGACGGAACATGCTCGAGGCTTGTGTACCTTGGGACACCAGCCTTAAGTCTTTTGCTGGGCTTGGAAATTCAGTGCTTTCCAAAAATCTTTGCTCTTGTTCACCCAAGACAGAGCAGGGAGAATCAGGGCAGTGACGAAGTTAAGACCCGAAGGCCCAAAGCAGTTGTTCACAGGAGCAAGTAAGGACAGCATGAAAAACTGGGATCAGGCCAAGGTACGAGTTAGGAACAAACTGGTCCCGATCTGGTTGTGGCGCAGCCCAGGTGATGTCCCTAAGTTATGGGCAACGGCTGCTCTGTGTAGCCTTCGTTAAGAACAGTTCTCCAGGGGCCTCAGTGTCAGCTTGCTTGTTCCAGGCCCTTGTGAGCCACTGACCTTCCTGGCTCAACCCCCACCTCCTCTGGGCACTGCAGCTGGAGGCCTTCTGGGCTTCGCTCCTTATCTGCTGATTTTTCACTTCAGTCACAGCAGCAACCTGCCACGTTTGCAGGTCTCCAAAGGACCTTCAAGGAAGAGATTTAGCCTCCAAGGCAGAGACGAGAGACTGCTAGCCTGGCAGCCAAAGCGCTGAGACAAAGGCATGGCAACTGGTCTTACCTGGATTCTGCCAGGGACGAGGTTGTCCGAGGTGGTGAATATAAGCTGCTTGGCGCTGGATGTCTCTGGGGAAGCCAGGATCACCTTGCCAGTTCCAGCTCCATCTGGGCTGGTCAGGATGAATTGCTGCTTGGGGGATCCAGAGGCGTCCACGGCGGTGACTATCTGGATCTTCTGTCCTGTTTGCTGGTCTGTCACAATCTACAAGACACAACATGGAGGCTGCTCTCATCGTGTGACCCAGGCACCTGAGGTGGAGCTCTTGGGTTGGCCCAGCACTGTCCCAGTGCATGCTGGTCCGAGATGCAGTTTCACTAGGCCGTGGTGAAATGAGAAAAATAACTGAGCTTTTCAGAGACCAGTTTTCATAAGCTCACTTTATTCTAGGATAAGTCTGCTACTACTTTTGCAATTAAAGTGTTGTTTCTTTTGTGAAATGCAGACAATAATAGGTGATAGGTTTTACTTTAAAAAGTCTTGTCCTGGGCCTCCCTGGTGATGCGAGGGGTTAAGACGCAGCACTATGAAGCTATCTGCAGCCACTGCAGCACAAGTTTGATTCCCGACCACGGAGGTGACCACATGGCGCAGCAAACCTCTCCTGTCTCCCCGCTGCTCCCCTCAGCAGTGTATTCAGTGGATCTGCCTGTTCTGTTCCCCACTGTCTCTGGTGAATCCTTTCACCCCTTGCATGTCTGACATGCACCCCAGCTCTTATATGCATAAATAAATAAAATTAAAAAAAAAAAAATCTTGTCCTGGCATGATAAAAATTGTGGGCAACACTTAACCTTTTTAAATAAATGCTACACTAATCAACAAAATCTAAAAACCTGGAACACCTGCTTTAAGAAGGGCCAGACCAACAAAGGAGGTTGCACAAATAATCCTGCTGTGGGGTGAGAAAGCACAGGCCGTGGGCTTCTGACACACCCAGTGGCTCCTACTCCTGACTTGCGACCTAGAGGACCGCCCCACACTGATTTCCAGGCTGCATCCCAGGGCCAGCACAGGGTGTGGTACAGAACAAGAATAAAAGATGTGGAAGGACTGAACTCCATAGTCACCCCAACGCAAACCTGCTTCCTTCCTCTGGGGGCTCCCACCACTGAAGAGTCCTCACTTCCCGGGGTCCCCTGCCTAATTCCATCAGTCACATTTTAAATAGGGACTTCTCCTCCTCCCCTCGGGACGTTCTTTGAAGTGGTCTCGTCCCCGTCCTGCCTCTCTTCCAGGCCAAGTGCCCCAGCTTGGAGCACTGTCCACCTTTCCTGGGAGGACATTAGCAGGCCTCACTGCAGACAGGACCCTAGGGCCTGGTACGGCTGGGTCTTGGACTAGGGGAGGGTGTGACATCTCTGGCTGGAACTCAGTTGCCTACAGCACGTTTATGGGCAGGTTTGGCATCTGTGTCACCTCTGGATAAATGCTGCTTTCTGATGTGAATTACAAGGTCGAGAGAGCAAACTCACAGTCTAACACAACACAACAATGGTCAATATGGAAAAATCAAAACAATGCTGGTTGGTTGAAATGACAGAGGTGAGACCCCCATTTAACAGAAGTTCGCCAAGTGCCCACTGTGTGCCGAGCGCAGTCTTCAGCACGAGGGGCAGGGTCACAACACAACGAAGACCTACCTTCGTGGAGCCACGTGCAGGTAGGGGGAACAGAGCGCCAACACTGGCATTACAGAATACCCGTCAGTGCAAATGCCGTGGAGAAAATGGAAATGCAGGGTCAATGGACAGAGCAAGACCTGGGGAAAGAGGCCAGGAAGCAACCTGAGGAAGACAGACCTCTCTGAAAGTGACACTGAGCAAAGACCTGAATGAAGCACGCCAAGATGTGGCCAAGGAGGCTGCACGCTGAGGGCGCAGCAAGTGCAGGACTAAGAAGAGCAGCATGGGATGAGGAGATGCAAGAACAAACCCTTAGCTGAAGGACAGTGCAAATCCCAGCCAGCACTTCCAACTGGAGTCAAAGATCTTTAGGAGAACAGATTTAGTAGGGCACATCCAGGGTCCCCTAAATGAGCAAAATATGGAACAGAAAACCTTGTAAAAACAATCCTTTTAAAAGAAACTTTCCTACCAAATGCTCGATTAAGACAGCAGACGGCTGGACGGCACGCGCCTCTCAGCTGTCGTGAATGGGACTCCTGCCTATTAAGAGAAACAAAATGGCCTTGGAAAGGCCCTCATGCTTGAGATTGTGAATCAAACGCTGGACTTCCTTTTTGCGTCTATCAATTCTTATTTCCTCCCCAAACTATTTTCCCTGTTAAGAAATGGCCATGTGATTGAGAGGGGACTTTGGATACCAACTACCGTCAAGACCAAGACTAGCACGTGCGGGCCTCCCCAGTGGCGCAGCGGTTGAGCGCTGGGTTGTGAAGCTGCCCGAAGCCTCTGCGGCGCCGGTTCGATCCCCGGTTGCTCCCCGGCCACCAGAGGAGGGTCCTGCATGGCGCGCAGACCTCTCCTGCCGCCCGCTGAAGTGTCCTTCGGTCCTTCTGCCTGCTCTGCTCCCCGCTCTGGCTCTGGTGAATTCTCTCTCTCTCCCGCGGCGCTTCTGACTGTACCCAGTGCTTGTGTAAATAAATAAATAAATCTTTAAAAAAAAAAAAAAAAAAAAGACTAGCACGTGCGCCCTGCTGTCCTCGTGGACGGGGCATGCAAGATGGGGCCGAGGCAAGGTGGGCGGTGGATGCCTGGGTCTACAGGGACAGCTGCTCTTGGTGGCTGGACAGAACCTATTCCAAAGCCCAGATCATCTGTTTTTCCCCCAAAAAATTCAGGCTCACATAAGTTTAATCGATCATGTACAATTTTTAAATCTCCCTCCAACCCCAAGACATTTGCATGAAAAACTTAAAATATAAGCAGGAAAAAAAAAACAATCCCCCTAACACCACTGGAAACCCCAGGCAAAAAAAGACCTTGCTAGCAAACATGAGCAGATGGAGCCCCACCGAATGAGAGCAAAAGACATTAAGGAGATGTAATAGGCTTACTGAAATTCCAAGTCTCTTGTAGCAGCGAGCTCTGTGTATCCTCTCTCCCCCCCATGTCCACGTCTCGGCTAGCCCCCAGGGCCTGTGAATGGGACCTTATTTGGAAAAGCCTTTGCAGAAGTAACCAAGTTGAGATGCCACCTTAGTGGGTTAAGTGGTGCCCTAAATCCAGTAGGGGCGACTGGTGTCCTGACGAGAAGGCCTCGCGCCCACGGAGGCATTGGAGCGGCGCGGCTGCCAGCAGAGACCACGGACTGCCGGCAACTACAGGGGGTTGGGGGGCGGAAGGAAGGAGTCATCCCTGGACTCTTGAGAGAGGGCATGACCCTGTCATCACTTTCATTTCAGACTTCTCATCTCCAGAACGGCGAGAGAATAAATTTCTGTTGTTTTAAGCCACCAAGTTGTGGTAATTTGTTCTGGCAGTCCTAAGGAACGACTAATAAAAAGAGCTTTAACTTCTTTACTTGCAAGCAGAGTTCATAACGCCTCGCCCGCACACAAGGACAAGCAGGGCAGAGGAGACAGGTGAGCAGGAGGTCTTGTTTTCTGCGTGCCGCAGAAGGCCCGCCACGGCCTGCCACACAGTCAGCGCGGCTGTAACGCTTGTTTTGAAAAGGCGGATTTGTTTCAACGTGGTTGATAAGTTAGGGGATCGCTGAGTATAACGCAAATCTGGTGTTGATGTGCAATTTCCTCCATGAGAAACACTAGGGGGACACAGATACCAGGTGAAGCAAACTGTGTCCGGCTTTGCTGCTGACACCTCTCGGCTGCCCCTCAGCACAGAGCTCCCTCTGTGCCTCTTGGGAGCTCTGTGCCCCTTGGCATCACTCAGTCACTCAGGGCTTCAAGCCCTCCCGCGCCCTCCACAGGCAAGCTTCAGGTTGCTTTCAAAATGCTATGTTTATTGTTGTCATTATGTATTTCTCAACCATTTAACATACACAAAATTGCAGTTTTTCCACTGAGTTCACATTTGTTCCTTTCCTGTGTCATAGACAGGCTGTTGCGTGTTGTGCCACTACCTCTACTTCCCCTATCAACCCCGAGGTTTTCACCCCCAGTTTTCCACAGCGTGGGCGTTCTCAGGAATGTTAATGTCACGTTCTAGCAAAGCGGACCACAGTCTCCCAGACAAGGCCCTGCCTGGTTCTACCTACAGGGATCTGACACTGGCAGTCTCCCCGTGATACCTAGTCTCTGTTCTGGCCAGGCTGGGCTTATCATTTCTGTTTCAAAGAAGAGCAAAGTGTGAAGTGTGTGAAGGCAAAAAAGTCACTAGATAGTTTTGTGACACTTACCAAATAAAACTAAACCGAAACATAAAAACCCACGCAAAAACCTGGTCACCAGCATCGAAAAACAGACTATTTTCCTAAAAAAATCAGATTTTAAAGGCAGTTCTCTTGACAAGCTAAAAGCTCTGGCCATCGCGGGCCCAAGGTCGCCCACAGCATCAGCCAGCTGGGGGTGACTGCCCTTTGAGATGGGGTAAGACTTTTTGGCTCATCCCAATCCCCACCTCATGCTGTGGTCCCGAGACAGGCCTTTGCAGCTGGAGCTGGACTGCTCACCTGCTGCTTTCCGACTGCGTCTAAGCGGCCTGGCTATATGCGCCTCCTGCGTCTGTTTACATATCTACAAAAAAAGGACGATCAGGAAAGCGAGGCAGCATGTGCTGTGCATGAGCCTGCTACGCTGTCCAGCGGGGAGCAGACGCTGATGACAGCATTTCCCCCGCTAAGCTCTCACACACTGCTCTCCTCACTTAGTCTGGTCCGAGCCCTTCATCTCCTCCCACCTCTCCCACCGTGGCTCCCTCACTCATTCGCTCCTTAGCAACCAGGCCTACTCGGTGCAGGCCGCTGCTGGACCTGGAGAAGGATCCTGCTCCCACAGAGCCTGGGGGTTGACTGGAAAGTGGCAAAAAGCAAGTAAGCAAACCACCCAGCAAACAAGTTACGTTTGTGATACACATGAAGAGGGAAAAGATCAGGCTGGGGTAAGAGAGCAACAGCACAGGAACCTAACCTTAGCGGTCACGGAAGGTCTCTGAGGATGTGGCGTTTAGAACCAGCCTCAAGGCTGAGAAGGGAGCCAGACAAGGGTTTAGGGAAAGTATGTTTCAAGCAACAGAAGGAGGAACTGCTTAAAATGGACCTCAGGCTCACAGATGATAAATAAGGACCCAGAAGTGCAGAGACGGGAGGTGGGCTGGCCCTGCCGGGAGTCTGGGTCTCATTCTAAGTACAACAGAAGCCACTCAAGGGGGGTTTCCGCCCAAAACAAGATCTTTAGTTTTCTACGCCTTGTACCATCTTATGTCTATCTCAAGCTATTTACACATGTATGCGTGTGTGTATACACACATCCTGACACGTAACACACATGTATTCTTTACAAGTATACATGTTCTATAGACTAGATATGGACATATAAAAATTATTGGATCATTACAGGTCATTGTATAGCACAGTGTAACAAAGGACAGTAGCAAAGAAGTCTTAATTAAAATGTCTTTTTAAAAGGTGACAGAAATCTGTTAAACATTTTTTTGACCTAGATACAAAGGTACATAAATCTTTCACTTCGCTATGAACTCAGATGAAAAGTGTTGCTCGCACACAGCGGTCAAACAAATACCTTCCCCATTTAGCCCCATCCGCTCAGTAACTACAAAATTTAAGTGGAAAAAACATTTGACAGTTTTCCTCCTTGAGTAACACAAAACAGTGTTTTCTAAATACATTCAGGATTTTATGTGAGGAAATAATGGGCAGTGCATTAAAAAAAAAATCTTTCTGGATGTTAGATGGGAAAAAATAGAAAAAAGGCAGAAGCTGAGGAAGCGTTAGGCCGTCAGGTGAGACGGAAAGCGGTGGCTGTGCGTCCTGAGAGAAAGCAACGGAGACGGGTGCAGGAGGGCAGAGGTGTGCGCACGGGTCAGGAACGAGCTCAGCGTGGGTGGAGATGGGACAAGGCTGGTAGGAGTTCAGAAGTCTGTTACTGGCTTGCCAAGAACTAGATGCCCATGGAGCTCTGGCAAATGAACTACTCCTAGATGAGGAGTCTGGACTCGAAGTAGACTTCTGATTTCAAGTTCAACATGCAAAGAGCTCGGAAATCATTGTTTCACTCTTACAGCGAGAAAAAGGCTAACTGAGTATCTGTAACTCTCACTGGGCTCATCAGAAAAATGAACCTGCAAGGTAAATTTCATCCTGAAATCTCAAGAGAAGTGAATTCACAAATTGAAGATCTGCTTACTTGGAACAGAAACCAAATTGCTGGAGACTTAAAAAGGACTAGCACAGGAGTGAGAAAAATCTGAGGGGGTTCTTCATACTTTCACAGGTCTCAGCTCTAGGAATCCGTTCTGTTCCCATTGTGAAGAGCAGAGAAAGAAAGATCCCCTCTTGATGGTTCTTCCAGAGGAAGGGGAAGAGGAATCTTTGCAAAACAATCTCAACAGGGCCTCCCTGGTGGTGCAAGGGGTTAAGACGCAGCACTATGAAGCTATCCACAGCCACCTCAGCATGAGTTCAATCCCCTGCCAGGGAGCTGACCCACATGGCGTAGCAGATCTCTCCTGTCTCCCCGCTGCTCCCCTCAGCAGTGTATTCCAGTCAATCCAACTTTTCTGTTCTCCACTCAGTGAATCCTCTCACCACCTGTACCTCTGGCCTGTACCCCAGTTCTTGTATGCATAAATAAATAAATCTTTAAAAAAATAAGCTCAACAGTTCTCATAACAAAGGCTTTGTCCCCAAAGGAAGGCTCCCTGGGGGAAGGTCATTTCCTCAACACCAGGCCCCTCTATCCTTCCCATCTCATCTAAGGGGGGCAAGGGAAGCTAAGAAACACTTCTGAAGGTCAGACATAAGAAAATATCATGTTCGTAGGATACACACACACACACACACAAAGATAGCCAAGGTAAGGAGACGTGATGCCTTCAATTTATTTTCAAATGATTCAGAAAAAAACACACAGACACACATTCAGAATGTTACAGTAAACCACCCCTGAAAAGGGGTAAAAGGTAGACAGGACTTCCATGTACTATTTCCCAACATTTGAAATTAGATAAATATATTTAAAAATTGTAACACTGTTGCCAACATAGAATAGCTGTTTGCTTCCTACAGGTTTATAGGTATCACATCTCATTTAATCCTTTCACAATCCCATAAAAAGGTACTATTAGTGTTATCATTTTGATGGGGGGAGAGGATGTTCTGAACTAACCCCACAAACGGGTTTTATGAACCCACTCCCACCCCAGACCAAAGAGATCCAAGACACCAAGGACTACAAATCCCATAGTATCATCACCAGAGTAGGGAGGCCTGCTGGGAATGAGGGTGGGGTGAAGCAGCCAGGTCTGGTGTATAACCAGATATGTGGGCTTTGGGGGCCCTTGGGTTTTCGCTATTGGGGTTCCAGCTCAGCGGACTGGTAGGACGCATTCACCGATTTATCTCTCCCCTTCTCCCTGAGTTATTCATTTCTTCACTTCCCCTTTTTGTAAATAAACCCTTTATTGCCCTTTTTGTGTGTGCCTGCAGTTGAGTCTCATAAGTCCCTGTAAAGTGCACGGGTGAAGACCCACAGTCAGGAAACCCATTTCACAATGGGGTTGCCTGTAACAGTTTTATAGCTATAAAGGTTATAAAAACTTTCTCCAGGGTCACATAGTTGAGTGGAGACAAGATCTGACCCCAAGTCAACTCGTCACAGTCAAAAGCTCCTGTCGCCAAGACTGCCATCCTTTATAGAATGATCTTTCTCTCCTAACCAAGTCACTATTTGAGTTCCAAGCACTGTTATTTATTGACACAAACTTGTTCTCTTCCCAGGTCACAGGGGATCGGAGAGTCATCAATAAAGTCAGGGCTAGAAATAAAAACGTCATTAAATCTATCAGCGCCAACATTGAAAATGCAGAAATCAAAATCATCCAATAATCTTTATTTTCCTTTAGGAAAAAAACAACCTTGAAATACAGTCAGTTCAGCTGCACTGATGTGTGTCCAATTTTACTGTTTACAATGGAAATATTTTCAGCTATATTTACTATACACACAACTCAGGCCAAAGGATTATCTCCACTAGAGACTGAAACCTCAACACAAGTATTTCTGCCTCAGTATTCTAGGCAACATGTTGCCACAGAGGGAGCAACCAGGCATGGAACAGCCCCCAAGTATGGATGCTAGAATGGTCCTTAGGAAAACAATGTACCAATGGGTGAACATACACTCATTCTTGAAATATAACTAGTTACTGGCAGAATCTACTAGAAACCTTAGTTCTGCGTTCTCACCTGCTTTCAGAGGGTTGTGACACTGGCTATGACAGCCACATTTAAACACACAGCTAGCTCCTTTCCCTGAGCTGGGAGAGTTTTATCTGTGTAGGATCCTAACGCCTGCTACATAAAAATATAATAGACCCACTTTCTTTTTCTTTTCTTTTTTTTTTTAAAGATTTATTTATTTATTTCTTTATACAAGCACTGGGTACAGTCAGAAGCGCGGGAGGGTGAGAGAATTCACCAGAGCCAGAGCGGGGAGCAGAGCAGGCAGAAGGACCGAAGTGCACTGCTGAGGGGAGCAGCGGGCGGCAGGAGAGGTCTGCGCGCCATGTGGGACCCTCCTCTGGTGGCCAGGGAGCAGCCGGGGATCGAAACGGCGCTGCAGAGGTCGCGGGCAGCTTTGCAACCCAGCGCTCAACCGCTGCGCCACTGGGGAGGCCCCAACAGACCCACTTTCAAGTGATAATCAGCAAATAAGAACAAAGAGAAAAAAATTAAGTTATATTCAGTTACTAATTCTGAGGAACAGTGAAACCTCATTAACATTGGACCTGTTGCTTCTGAATTTCCAACTCTCAGATAATGTTTCCTAGGTGGTGTGATGTTTATATAATGACAAGTAAATGAACTTTAGTGTTTCTGGCAAAATATTACACAATATAGACATAAAGGGAATAAAATTTTTTAACAACCTATTTCATTTACTTATTAGAATACTTCTATGCTTAGTTTATAATAGATATTACATAAAATCACTTTTGAGAGTGGGCAAACACTGTGTCATACTTATATTCTGAATTTGAAATAAACTATAAATGAGAGCAACCCTCTCACCTACTCTAATACCTACCCACCGCGGTATTCCCTCACGCGCACGTAACTAACGCTGTATCTGCTGTGCCTCTGCTGGTTTGGGCGTGGCCTTTTGACTTAGCTTGTTGCTGACCAGCAGTCTGATACACAAACCTTTCTCTTTGTTTAGTGGGCCAAAGGCAAGTTCAGGGAAGGCCCTGGGGAAGAGTAACTTCCCAAAAATGAATAGCGATTGAGTTCCAGGCAGCAACACTAGCAACAATAGTTACTATGATTAGTACATACTGAACACTACTATCTGCTAGGCACTGTTCTAAGCGATATCCTACTTTAAAAGCGATATCCTACTGAGCCTCACAAAACCTTATGTGATAAATAATACGAACATTGTCAAAATTAAAAAAAAAAAAACAAAACCGAGGTACTGAAAAGTAGACTTTCCAAGGTCAAAAGTGCAATTAAGCAGGGTCCTGGCTTTGACGTCAAGTGGGCCTATGCTCTTAACTACTTGGACATACTGCCTCTCAATCAGGAAGGACATACGTAAAAAAAATTGTATGTCAACTTAGTAGTTTGGAACGATAATTTAGACTTTTGCCTTAATTAGCTTAATAAATGTAAACTTTTTCTTCTTTTATTTTTCAAAGAAAACATACGTGTATGTTGGACTTCAAGCCCAAGAGGCACAACTCTCTAGTGGAATTCTCTAGGCAGGTTTGTTTTAGGAAAAGATTCAGGGAAAGCAGGGATGCCTTTGGGCAACGGCCTGGAACCAGGTGGGACCGGAGTAGGAAGGTACCTGAATTCGCTGAGGTGAGGCTACCGCAGAGTCGGTGGAGATTATCTGGATGCGCGGGGAGGGGCTGGTCATCCCTGGAGATTCCGGCCGAGAGGTCTGTGTACGTGGTACCTGTGGGTGAGAAATGAGCCAGAATCAACAGGGGATGCAGAGACGGCCAGTAGAGGCCTGAGGACTGTATCTCTTGCTTTCACTGGGAAGTAAAACTTCTAGAGTTCTGGAGTGGAGAACCAGGACGACAAAGGAAAGAATGAGATACTGCCACTGGGTGAGCCCAAGGAAATTAATCTTTTTTTTTAAAAAAAGATTTACTTTTATTTATTTATGCACACAAGAATTGGGGTGTAGGCAGAGGTGCAGGGTTGAAAGGATTCACCAGAGACAGAGTGGGGAGCTGAACAGGCAGACTGACTACACTGCTGAGGGGAGCAGCGGGCGAGTCAGGAGAGGCCTGCTGCGCCATGTGGGTAGCTCCCTGGCCAGGGAAGAAACTCATGCCACAGTGGTTGCGGATAGCTTGAAAACACTGAGACTTTAACCCCTGCACCACCAGGGAGGCCCCGGAAATACAATCTTAAAATAGCTGTTGCTCATATTGAAAAGGGAGTATGAAAGGAATATGAAAGGGAATATGAAAGGAATTTTCAGAGTGAGCTATACAACTTCAATAAAATCAAAAGCTTGTTTCAAAGTAACTTTTTAGAGATGATCTTTGACTCCCCCCCACACTATCTCCAAAGTCAGGGGTAAAACATTCCTTTAAGATGACAGCATCCAGAAGAAAGGCCCACACAACACCGTAGAAGATGGCAAGCAGAACCAGCAACACGCTGACAAGGACTGATTAAGTTTGCTAGCGTTCTGACAACCTCCCAAGCCGATGGGATGGGGCTGCAAGAAGCAAGGAAAACAAGGATCTAGAGTTGTCAATACTCAACAAAGGCAAGGTTCAAGGTTCCGAGTGGTCACCTGAAGTGGCTACATAGGACTTTTCGTCACAAAACGTGTATGAATGAAATACTTTCATGAATGAGCCGTGAGAACATTTATGTTGAAGAAGTCACATGCAAAAGGCCACATGATTCCATTCATATGAAACTTCCAGAAGAGGCAAGTCTATAAAGACAGAAAGTGAATGAGCAGTGCCCATGACTGAGAAGGACAGGGAAGTGGTGGGAGGGGTGATGGCGCTGGGATGTAGGATTTCTTTGCGGGGGGGGGGGGGGTTGTAATGAAAAATGTTCTGGAACTAGATAATGGTGATGGCTGCATGGCCTTGGGAATATATAATAAAAGCCAAAGAACTGTACACATTGAGCAGGCATACTGTATGGCAGGTGGACTGTATTTTAGTAAAATGCTTAAAATTTTTTTTAAAAAAATGAGTGAACGAGTAAGTCCTTCCATCCACGGTGCTCCAGGAGTCAGGCCGGAGGAAGAAAGGGCAGTGACTAGGAGGGGCCCAAGGAAAGCATTTCAGCTTCACCTGGGTGCTGGCTACAGGGGAATGTTTTCTCTGTGATAATTCCTCGTTAAACACTTACGAATTGTGATTTGTATTTAAAATACTTAAAAGGAGCACTGACAAATATTTTGCAGGGCCTCAGATTCACTGAATGCTCTGAGCCCCCTGGAGCTGTGCTCTGGGTGCTCAAGCAAGCAGCAGCGGCCAGTCTTAAGTAGCAGGGGGAGGGGGTGAGGAGTGGGAGGGGTGGCCAGAGAGGAAGAAGCCTGGGGCTGCGGATTTGCGGATTTGCTCCTTTTGCAGCCTTGCCTGAGTTATACACTCCCTGGAGTCTACATCCCTCACCTGCTAGGGAACACACTTGCAACTTTTGATTCTTCCCATGTAAGAACCCCAAAGTTCTTGCCTCATTGCCGGAAAGGTGACACGGGTCATGCTTGCAGTGGGCGCCCTGATGGTATGGGTGAACAGCCTTGCGGTAAGGATGTTTACTAGGGGAAGTGACAGATGAACGGGAAAATATCTGGGATCTGCTACTGCTGCAGGAGGAGCGAGGGCGTCTGAGTGGTGTCAGGGAGGCTCAGAGACGGTCTGGCTTGAAGGCAAAGTGATATCATGACGGAAGTTCTCAGAAATCTTGTATCTGTGTACGCTTAGAGTCCACTACCATGAACAGACACCAAGGCAGGAAATTTACTCACTCCCCATGCCCACCTTCCCCTGCCAAGTGTTTTATGGGAATCCATTAGTACAGTAATAAAAGGTCAATTTAGTAACAGGATATAAAAGTACTGGATATTTTTTTGATGAACGTTTCCTTTCCATCCTTTCCTGGCCACCCTCTCAAAGCCTGAGGCCAGTCGCCCTCTGCTTCAGCCTTCTTTCTACCCCTCACCTGCTCAGGTTGCAAAGAACAGGCTCCTTTGATTCACATGCAGGATAAATACGTGGCCACACCAGGACTTTGCTTTACCCTGGCCAGAGCACTTGCTCAAGAAACTGCTGTCCAAAGGACTGGATTCAACCACGAGCAAGCAGGGTGTGAATATTTGGACATGGTCTTCCAGGACATGGTCTCTGCCTCACACGAGTCAGTAAAATCGGCTGCCCTCTCTCACATCCCTTCTAAAGCTAACCATGCACCCAACACACGTTTACTGTCACAGGAGTTTAATGAAAGCCTTGTGACTCTGGCCAGCCTCTCCCCACCCCCAGGGTAGGTATATAAGGCCTGCTCTGGGCCTCCCTCTCCACCCAGCACTCGCTGGAACTGCTGCTTTTAGATGTACCTCGGAGGACTGGAGGGAACAAGACCAGATCCCCAATGACTGGTTAATGAATAAATAACACTAACATCAGTAATGAATAAGAAGTCAAGATGTTCCATAGCCCTCATTCTGTGAGGATCCTTTTTTGTTCTACTCCACTCCTGTGCCTGCCTGTAAATGAGACATTTTGCAGGTACCACGTAACAACTGCCCGGGAAGGTTAGTCCATAAACCCAGGAGTACTGGCTTCCACCGACACTTGTGGGTTTGAGGCTGAGGGAAAGTTCATATATGCATTTTCCTCCTGGAGTGAGAACTTTCTATAGTCCATCATCACCTGACACTGCTGTGGCAACATTTGCTTATGAAATAATCTTAGGAAAAATTTCTGTGGTTTACTACTAAACGACAAACATCTAGGTTGAAGAGAATGCCCACAGCACTGGGCTAACGAATTAAAGACTCTCTAAACCTACTGTACTCTGGGTTTGGCAGCAACAGTCCCATGAGTTATTAATAGGGCAACAGAGTTCACACTGCGTTAAAAAAAAAAAAAAAAAAAAAGATCACGGATCTTACACGTTACAAACCTCAAGGAGGGACTTTCCCCTTTCTCCTTCACATTCCCAGTGCAACAACGAACAATGCAAATGCCTAAGTGGGGTGAAGTGTCTCAGCCAGGCAACCCCTCCAGCCTGAACTGAAATTGACCACATCCTCCCTTTATTTCAAAGCACCATTAAATGATAAGCTAGTGAAGGGTCAGTGGGCAAAAGTTAGCCTCTTCCGTGCTGCAACTCCAGTCACAGCCCATAATGCAAAGGAGGCTGCCAGTCTTCAGAGCGCTTCTCTTCGACAGATGAGAAGCACACACTGGCCCTATCACATCCCAGAGGACACTTCTCTGTGACCTGCAAGTCCAGCTCTTCTTTATGCTACAGTCAATGGAGAAATAAAACTGTCATAATAAAACATGAAAAATCAGCCTCATTTATATTAGGATTCATGAACCAGTTTTTGAATATTCCTATTGACAATGTTAATAAAATGTTAATGAAAAACAAGCTATAGCTCTGAGTTTCTTGGCACAAAAACAAAGATCCAAAAATCTGCCACCACCCATGTTTATGCAAAATAATGGCGTATTTAAGAGAAACATGGTTCATAAACTGTATGTAGATTAACCTGCTGAAAACAACAGCATGTGCCCACCTGAATTTACTAAACATATTCAAATACACGTTTCTATGAAAAACTATTTTGCTAACTGCTAAGCATAGAACAGACACTAAATTGAGTTTCTTCAAATACAAAACAGGCATCTAACCACTGCTTTTTTTAACCAACTTCTCCAAAAACAAGTACCTAGGAAACACCCTGCATTACAAGGAAGCTTCCTCCCCAGCACAGACTGAGAACAAGCTTCAACACTGCAGGCTTGGTGTTCAGGACACTCACACTTACACGCTAATCCTCCACGCAGCTTTACTTCTATTTTCCTCAGAACTTCCCTGGCCAGAGGTTGTTTGGTGGAACTCACAGACCTTTGCTTTGAAACAGCCAGGGGAGATACCATTCTCCAAAACCAGACAGAGCTGTTAAGAGACGCGCTATGACCCTGCTCTGCTGAAGGTCAAGTACATGATCACTCCCCCTAACTAAGGAAGCAAAATTGACATGTTCCTGCTGTTTTGCCAGATGCTGAAGCTGTTTGTCTAATAATATGACTAATTTGCTTCAAGGGAAGATATACTTTTTTGGAAAAAAAAAAAAAAGATTTATTTATTCATGCACACAAGAACCCGGGTACAGGCGAGATGTGCAGGAGGGTGGGAGGTTTCACTAGAGACACAGCGGGTTCTACCTTCACCTAGATTATTGCCACTGCTAAATACACCCTTTTCCCCCTTAAAGACCACCTTTTAGAACTCAGAGTGCATGAAAATGTTACCACGGAGTCCAACCAACTCAGAGAGTTTTAAAGCCAGAGGCGTGTAAAGATTTGTAGAACTCAGAAAATACTATTTTGCAAGCACCATCTTCAATTTCACAGTACATTTAAGGCAACATTTTAAAAGATATATAGTGTTTTTGCAAGTTCATTCAATAGGAAGGCAACAGTATAACAGTCTGCTTTATATACAAACCCCCCCATAAGGGTAAGATCACTGGGCTCATTTAACAATACTTTACTATACCTTCCCAGTGGGTGCCAGGCATGTGAATATAGGTCACAGTTCTGGGCTCTAAAGCCTCCCCTCCTTCGGGGGGAGGGGTCAAGATGAACATATACAGTCAGTGCAGATGAGAGGGTGACATAATAGGCCACAGAACCGCTTCAAGTCTAAACTTCCCTTCTCCTCCAAGCCTACAGAGGG